TATTCTATGGCACAAAGTAAGAAAAAAATGTTATGTAAACATAGGTCATATAGAGCTTTATTAAGAAGTTATAACAAAAATTCGTTCAATGAAATGAAAGAGAAACTCGATCAGAAACTCGATCTTCGATCGATGTCAATCATGTATTTGTCAACAACGGTAGACATTTTGAAATGTATTAATAAACACAGCTTACATAAACACACGGCATGTGCTGATCTATTCAAGTCAATGCTCGCAGTAACAGCAAGTTGATTACTATTCCTATTCTAAATTTTTGTTATAACTTCTTAATAAAGCTCTGTATGACCTATGTTTACATAACATTTTTTTCTTACTTTGTGCCATAGAATACACTGACAAAGTTTGAACACTAAAACCTGGGACACCCTGTATATATTATAAATTATTTTCTGAAATAATTTTCCTCATTTTGAAAGACTTTTAAACCGACTACTAAAAAAGGAGGTTGCACAACTCGTTTAATGTATATTTTCTTATTCTTTCATTAAACAATAATAAAAAAAACGGGAGATTATTAAAAGTCATTCTATATGAACGATTAAGAAGAAAACTAAAACTTCCCCGTACGATTGACGTAGATGTGTGCGTAATCCAAAGTTATGTCATGGTTAAATTGTGGTACACAGCTAATTTGCTTCAGTAAGAAATGAATTTAAGTAGTTTCTTATTTGTGTTTCGTTATTGTAAATGTTTACTCGGCTCAGGGTCTTTTTTTATTTAGGGGTAGATGATATCCAAAGCTGTAAATAATTCAGAAGACATTGGTAATTATTTATTGAAACAATGAAAAGACGAAAAGTACTGCAACTATTGTTTCTTGAAATTGATATGGCAAAAATATTTGTCATAATGATTCTCAATCAGATGTAACGAAATCACAACAAACATCTTTATCATACGTTATATACGGACAGAATAAATAAAACAAAAGTTGAAATCGACAAAGGAGGACCATAAACAAAGTCTGCCTTTGGTGGAATCTCACAAATAAAATTTAAAATGTGCTGTGCGTAATAGTTTGAATAATATTCCCAATGTTTCTGGACCGGACGCATCGCATAAAAGTGTCCGTATTTTTTTTCGGTCGGTACCCGTGCGCACCTGTGTAACCAGTGCCATTAAACGAATACCTTACATTGAAACTTACCGATCGAGTGGTTTCTTTCGGTGTTTCATTGACTTGTTGTGTTTGATTTGCCGAGTTCACCGATTTCGCAGAATTTCGTCCGTCTTGAATGGCTGCGTCGTGACCCAGCTCGCTCTGTTACCTGTTCCACCTGCGCCATTGATGTCCGTTAGTAAACGAGTTAGTAATTAAATCGGGTTAACTATACGAAACGCAATTGTAACCGAGGGTATAATCATTTTCTTTAGCATTCCAGTTTCATCCATCACAGTAATATGTTTTTTTATTCATAAATGCTAAACAACGATAAAACATGAGTATTTTTTATGATGCGGTCGTGACAGCGTAAATAAATATAATGCAAGTAAAAAAATCTACTTAACTTTCACACGATTCGAAATGAACTCTAAATTGATTAAAGCCTTCTAGCATTGCCTTCTAGAAATGTCAAGGTTTTTATTTTAATTTTGCAATAACTATTATTACAATATATGTTTCAATAAGGTATTTTATTCAACCATGTCTCGCCAGAGCATCTTTGTAATTTCAATACTTGTAAAATAGACAAATATGAAATTCGATATTTCCATATGATTGTTGCATTTGTAGCGATTGTTGCGATTTTATGCGTTTGCTTAAAATATGCAATTATAAGTGAAACTCCATTATTTATAAACTCTTTTATATAACTGCTCTTGCGGAATGTACGAGAGTTAATAGAAATAAAATTGAAGGTCAAGACATTCACCGTCTCGATACATAGTGTGCATATTAAAATAGAGTATCTCGCTAAAATAGAACGTTTAACTATGAGCGATCTGCATGAACAATTGCGAACAAAAAGCTGAACAATTGGTTCGGTAGTTAAGCTGTCGTACAATTAATATCGTTTCGAGCAATCGACAGAGGTAATTGGTTCTCGCTGACTGAAGATTACTGTTATTCCACTGAAAGTTGTGTACCGAGGACAACTTGCATTCACTTCTTTTATTACAACACTGGGGTGTCCACAATATTACAGCAAACAGAGCGTATAAAACTCATCTTTCGATGTTCCGGTTTAGAGATTACGACATCACGCTGGGTTCCTAAGGAATTGTTGCGTTACTGGACGGAATGCTCCATTACGTGCATTTTTATGTGTATTTAATTAATTCTACGAAGCTCTGTTCGAATGAATGTATGCAAGATATTTGTATGAATATTTGGGAATAGAATGATTGCGAAGTGTGTCAACAAATGTAAGCTGTCATTCATATTCTTATATTCATAGGAAATACAACATACATAAATGCAGATGTACACGTAATCATAAGAAATAAAAAATATGTCCTTTTGTTAGACATTTATATTTCCATTAGAACTTGACAATTTCGATCTTTTTGTACTGAGCATAATTGATACTGATTCTACTTCTTTTATTTTACTGTCACACAAGGGAATATCTACATTTCGTTTAATGAATGATGTGTCCTACTTACTAAATTCAACAATTGTTTATAAAAATAAGTATCTACTGTAGAACAGATTTTAAATTACTGTATTCCACTGGATTTCATCATATACATATACATGTTCTGTTTTCATGTATATATTATATTAGGTCTACCGGAAAGTTCTGTCCGTTTGAGAAATGAAAGGAAATAATAGATTTTTCATAAATTTAGTAATATTTATATTGTACAATATAATTTCCGTCGTTACTTGTGATCTCTTGCCAGCGTGATGGCAATTTGTGAGCAACATTTTTTAAAAATATATGTTTCAAATGAACATGTGCATACCTATTGAAATTTGCAATGACATTATCAGACAGAACTTTCCGGTAGACCTAATAAATATGGACGAGGTATTACTAATGACATAATTTCATTTTAAACTTTTTTTTATGGCTATTAAGGGTGTTTATACGACATTGATTAACAAGATTTAGGATCTCCACCGAATAAAATATAAAGGAGCACATATTATATATATTATATATACATTGATATATACATGATATACATTGATATATTATATATATATATATATATATATATTATGTATATTATATATACATTGAAATTAGAATTGCTATTGACAGATTGATAAAAGTGTTCGATTTTTACAATTTTATTATTTTAAAACACTTCCCGTCATAATCAGAAATACAAATTCTACGTAGCGAATAAATCAAAGATATACCGTAAAATTGTTCTCATCGAATAATAATTTTTACGATTAAAATAACAAATATTATTTTTGCTCGCAGATGCGGAATCGTTAGCAGATATTGGCGTGCCAAGGCTGGAAAGGGACCTGCAAGGTGAGTGATCACAGACTTGTCAGTGTGCTTGCCTTGCATCATACTTGTGATCTCACAATAGAGTTGCACTTACGGACAATCATTTCTAATTCCGTCTAACCAACCTTTCCCCTGGAGTTGACAATCTTTCTGTTCTTCTGTACGATCATTTTTGCCACGCCGCTGGAGAAAAGTGACTCGAGTGCAACTCTACCGGCGAAAAAACCGTTCTCTCTCGCTTTCTTCTCTCGTCTCCGCTGTCTGACCTATCTCTTCTTACAATCTAAACGAAATCGATCGTTCTACCTGCAAAACAAGTCTTCGTTTGAGCGTGTCGACGTGAGGTGCGGCCGTGTACATAACGTATAGTAATAATAATGGCAATAATAGCAATAATAATCATAATATGTAAAAAAAACGGAAGGAGAGGAAAAAAGGAGAACAAGGAAAAGACGCAGTTGTGTCCCGAGTACGCGCGCTCTATCTCTGCCCCTCTGTGTGTGTCTATTAATTTTTTTCTTTTTTTTTGTACACCTTGTGTTACGTATACGTGGGTACGTGGGTCTCGAATCCTGACAAATGACTTACCGCTGGAACGTAGCCTCGGGGGACCTGATAATTGAAAAAGAAACCGAATCAGAATTGTAAAGGTACACGCGAGAGACTTTCACTGCAAGGAGACGCGGGAAACGAATTTCGACAATCATGCGACCGCGTTTCGTATTAATGAACGAAATTATTATCGCGATAAAGGCTTTGCGATGCTTTCATATCGAACAGGATTGCATACGATATAGAGCCATTTCATTGCATTCGATATCAATAATACAAGAACTTTTCAATTTAGACGAAACCAATAAAATTATCCCGCTAATAAGTTTCGTAATACATTGTCCGCGCTAGTGTGGCATGACCGATTGTAAACGATATATAGTACCGAGCGGGTCAAAAATTCTCAGGTCCCTCGAGCTGTACATATACACACGTGCCACCTAACCGCCTGGTATCTCACACCTTTTATCTCGCACAACGATTTTCTCGGGCACGAGGTTCGCGGATATCCGAAAACGGTACCGATGCGGCCACGAACGCGTATCGATCGGAAACCGATGATAAACGTTGGCAAAACGGGGACGAAGCCGGACGAAGCAGGTGCTCTAGGCTACGAACAACGATGACTCGTCTACTAAGATCGTCTGTCTCTTTTTTTCTGTTTCTGTTACTGCTCCCGCCTGCTCCTCGCCTTCAACTCTTCTCAACAACTGGATGCCGTCTGCCTCCAACGTCCGCCCGCCACTCCGTCTCTCCGACGACCTACATTATCTAAAAAACAAAACAAACTTCTAAAAATCACACTCGAACAAAAAAAAAACAACCAACCAACAAAATACAAAAACCACCAATGACGATTGGTCCTGACGTAATTGGCGATACGGGAACAAAACGCGACTTGGACGATTGTACTGTGACATCGATGCACGACACGAACGATCACTGATTCCGTTTCGACACCGTCCGTCCACTGATACACGTTGACGCCACCGTTCCGACGGACGACGTGCCCGTCGACGCCTGACGCGTTCCCGTGCGGCGACAATCCCGGGCTCTCTCGATGCTTCTGAACGATCCCGAACTCCTCCCGACTCGTTCCACACGGTGGCCGTTCCCAGGGGTGACCACGGTTCTCCTAGTCACGGCCAGACCCGGCAAGTCGGTCCCGCCGGTCGGCCTGCTCACGAAAACCGCGAGAACGTTCGTGCAGGACGGTGCCAGCACGGAGTTCGCTACCCAGGTGCTCGGCACCACCCTCGACAATGGTCGCCTGTACGCTAGAATCTTGTCCACGTCGAGTAGGGTCTTCTACGACAAAGAACCAGCGCCGGATACGCCGAGACCCTACGTGGTATACCCGTCGAGAGCGCCTGACGACGATTGGCAGTTCAGAGTGGCTCTCGACAACGCGCCCGTGAAGGTCCTCAAGGAGATAGAGACGTCGAACGCCGCGGACTCCGAACAGAAATCCGAGCATCAAGAGGACAACGAGAAAGCTGCGACGAAGCTGGACGAGATGTCCAGGGAGAACGACATCTTCAGCAGACGGGAACTGAGCCCCGAACCTCAGCGATTCAAGCCAGCGAAGGTTAGGACCGCTGATAATTTACCGACGTTCACGGTCAAGCACGAATACGTGACCAGCAGCTTCGACAGTCCAGAAGACGATCAGCCGAAGAATTTCAGGCCTCGGTTGCCGAAGATCTTCAAACCCCAGCCGAAAGTTGGTATGCAGAAGAAGGTTGATGCGAAGCCTTTGGCTACCGTGACCTACCATGGTTTCGCCGATTTCACTACCACCGTGGGCGAGACTGTCATTGTCTTCTCTCCGAGCACTTCGCCGGCTCCCGTTGGACGTCCTGCTACTACGATCAAGGGAGACGCGACTTTAAGGCCCGACGACGGCGTTGCTGTGCTCAAGGTGAGGCCCACCAGCGTCGTCTCGGCACCGAAGAAAACCGCTCAGCATCCCGATCTCGAGCAGCAGCCTGTTTTGAAAGCCGGGTCCGGCGATCCTCTTTTGGATGTCATTAACGGTGCTAACATCCAACCGAGCATGACCGAGGATTTCGAGATGGAGTCGTCTACCTTGTCCACCGAGCCTCTTCTTCTGATCCCCGACGTGGACACGAAATCCCTGAAAGCTACTGGGCTGCTCAAAGTTGTAGACTCAACGACGTCTATGGATGGCACCACTACCCATTACAAGAGCATGATTTATGGCACATATATTGGAACCGATTACGCGCAGATCATTCACACTTCCTCGAACGTTTACTTCTTCCCTGACGAAGCTACTGTCACGTACGACGCTGACGATACCACCGTTGATTACGGAACGACCGTCGTAGAAGGGACCGAACCTGAGCAGGAAACTACCTTTGACGCGCCAATTGGCACTACGCCTAGAGCGATCCCCACTGGCGAAGAAACCCCGCAGGAGATGAACGAACTGACTACTCCGCTCAGAGACACCACCGACAGTGTGTTGACCACCCTGAAGGACATCTTGGAGAGCGCTAGGAGGGTCTTGGAGACCACCGAGTCAGCTAGGCCTTCGTTGGAAGACGACATTCCGAATGACATTGTTCCGGGTGATCCTCAAGGAAGAAGCATCAAAGGTGACACATCTAAGAACGATATCGGACCGAAGCACAGGAATAAGTTCGAGGATCAGGAAGAAAAGGCGATTCTGGCTACCAGACTCCTGCCATCCACGGTGTACAAGACGTTCACCTACTTCACGACGTTCTTTATTCCCGATGGCGCGCAAACTACCACTTCGGTGCGTTCCAGGGAAGTGGTTTCCTCGGAAGTCACTTATCTGACAGAGCTGATCGCAGCTAACGCGACTGCCGCTCCAATTCTTCCGACTGCAGTCTTGGCCCAGCCAATGGCAACTCAGACGACCTCGAGTTTGATCATGGAGGAGGAGCAGACCACCAAGCAGGACGAAGAAATAGAGCTGATATTTAAGACACTGTATACGACTTACACGTATCTTACGACTTATTTCCAAGAGAACACGTCGAGTGTCTCCAGCCGAGAGGTTGTAGAGACGAACGTCGTCACTCAGACCGTTGGACCTAAAGGAGTATCTGCTGTGGTCGCAGATTTATTCGAGAAAGATCAGTCCGTTTATATAGCTCCAACTAAGATCGTGGACACTATCGAGCCCTCCGTGTTCCCTCAATTCAACGAGAAAGAAACCGAGAAATATCCGACGACGTTGGAGCAAACGACAGAGGATACTCTGACAACTATTCAGGATCAAGACACTACTACCGATCAGAATATTCCTACCGAACCGGGAACAACCACCGAGGATTTCACCGAGGACACTTCAGAAACGGTGCCAAACATCGAACCGAGTCCGACTCCAGCGTTGCCAACGGAGGCTGTCAAAGAGCAGACCAAGACCTACTACACGACGTACACTTACTTCACTACCATCTTCGTCGACGATGAGACGGAAATCGAGACCAGAACCGAGGTGTTCACTAACGTCGTCACCGAGACGATTCAACCGACAGCTGTCTTACCAACTACGCAAGAGACCCAGGCTCCTACCACGCCGAAAGAGGAACCAGCGAAGCCGGCAGTTCCTCCAGAGATCCTGGCATATCTGGAAGCTCTCCAGAGGCAGAAGTCTCAAGAAGAAGCGCTCCAACTGGCAAAGAAGGTGAAAGAGCAGGCAGCAACTCAGCCTGGCGACAGTCCAATCGTGAACGAAGCCAACACAGAAACCACGGAATTCTCGACCACGGTGGAGGATCAGCCAGCAGTTGATAATCACTTCCGTGGTTTCGAGGTCAATGCCCAGGTGACTCCCAATCCACCTGTCGATGGCGAGGTCCTTGGGTCTATGATCACCGACGTGGTGTCTTCTTCTAGCTCCGGCGGCGGCACAGTTCTGGATTTGATGGATAAGAGAAACGCGGTTCCGGAAGATCAAGAATTATCGGAGTCTAACCATCACGACGTCGAACCTGCGCCAACTCTGCTCCTCCAAACGAGTTACACTACCTTCACGTACTTCACGACCATGTACAAGGGTGACGAATCGAACGTTGTCAGTCGCCTCGAGACTGTGACCAACGTCGTCACGGAGACTATCAGGCCAACCGCTGTAGCGCCTATGGAAACCAGCACCGTGCCAGTTACTTACTTCACAACGTTCACTTATTGGACGACGTTCTACAAAGGTGGTGACACCGTTACCACGAGTCGCGAGGAGACTGTCAGCAACGTGGTGACTCCGGGTGTTACGCCAACGCCCACGGTGGAGCTTGGTGTTGTTATGACGTACAGGCCATCTACGGGATCCACCGAAGATAGTCCTGTCGTTGAAGGGGAGTCCAAGATAACCGCTGACAATGAAGTCACGCCATCGGATGTCGTTCCACTTGAAAACTCCAGGTCGGAGCCGGCTGAGAAAACGACCGTCAAGGACGTCACCGATCCTCCCGTGGTACCCATTGTTCCGGAGTCTTCTACCATTTCGCCCGAGCCGACCACGTATTATACTACTTACACTTACTTCACGACCTCGTACATCGGCAACGAGACTATACTGAACAGCAGATTGGAGACTGTTACCAGTGTTTCCACGCCTGATGTTGTTGCTACGCAACCAGCAGCTACTGGCAGAGCGATCGACGGGCCGGTGTATCAACAGAGCATTCCAACCGTCGATAAGCCTGTGACACCGTCGAAAACCAGCGAATCACCCAAGATAGGTTTGATTTCGACTATCAGGTCCAGTCAAGTGAACGACGGAACCACGACTCACTATATGACGGATGTGCATGGCACGTACATAGACGGACTGTACGCTCAGATTGTCCAGAGTTCAACTTCGGTGGAAACGCCACCGTTGCCATCGTCGTCTATCGCTACTCCTGTCCTCCCGACCGGTGTTCTGTCGATGAACAAAGGCAGCGTGGTGGACGCCGACGAAGTGACCACGATTTACTTCACCACCAAACAGATCGGCACCTTGTTCGATGGCTTGTACGCCAAGGTGATCGAGAGTACCTCCAGTACGAAAATCAACGAGGAGAGGAAGGCAACCATTCCGCCTACTCAGGGTCACAGAACCGGGCTGGTGAGGCTGATACACGGTCAGATCGAGAACAACGGAACGACCACGTTCTACCAATCGAAAGTAATTGGTACCAGCATCGAAGGCAGGTACGCCCAGATCATCGAAAGCACTTCCAGTTTCTCTTCGGCAACGCCGACCTTGAACATCGCTCCAACGTCAACGCAACCGCCCACGAAGCCGACAGAGGTTCCGGAGATATCTCCTTCGCCGGCTGTGATTCAGTCTTCGCTGTCCGAAGACCCTACGACGGAATCTCCTGATCAGGACGAAGACTCCGAACAGAACGATGAGAACGAAGAGGACGACGAAGATGGCAAGGACGGGCAGAGTTCGAAAAAGAAGTCTCGATTGACTTTCTCCACTAGGAAAAGGTCGTTTACGCCGGCGATCAGACCATTCTCCTCCAGGAACAGGCCGACGTTCAATCCGAAACGGAAGGGTGCACAAGGTGCTACCACGATTACCCGAACGGACATAACTCCGACCATAACGGCCACTTTAGCTGGCAAAGGCAACAGATTTGCATCGTCCAGAGGTCGAGTGAGTTCTCCGATTGGGCCGTACTCTTCGACATTGTCACCGTCTGGGTCGAGGAGATTCAATGGAAGAAGGGGATCTCCTAGCACAGCCAGTGCGTACACTTCGGCTGCGTCGGGAAGCAGCAGAGGCAGGCCACAGACCAGGATATCTCCGTCGTCGGTATTCCAAGGAAACAGGCGGGGACCTACGTCGATCAGAGGTTCCTCGGCCAGAGCTGCGACACGCGGATCGAGCTCCGCTTATCCTGGAGCCTCTACCAGGTTCAGATCACCCATTCGACCATCCTCGACGTTATCGAGAGGTCAGGCAACCGTCAGACACGAGGATCAGGAGAACGACGCCAACGAATTCACTACTACCACCTTGGTGACAGAGGAGACTCCGTATACAGAGGATTTCGACGGTGGCGAGACCGTAACGGTGCCGCTGCAGACGACCACGGAGTCCTCGAGAAGGTCCACGAATCCTCTGCTGAGATTCCGCAGACCGATTAGTTTGAACAACTCAGGGAGAACAGGTACCACTACCAAACCATCGACGACACCTCGGAGGAACGGAAATTTGAATAGACCCACTCCACCCTCTATCCCGAAGGTGACGAACAGCAGATCCAGCGGTAGAACTGTACCGATATCAACGAAACCACGACAGGGTAGCACAGGGATATTTCCGCCTAGAGGATTATTTGGAAAGAAACAAGAGCTACCCACCGATGAGCAAGTAGAACCGACCGAGGAATTGGACGGCGAGGGGGAGGAAAACTTCGAGGACGAGCCCGTGGAAGAGATCACCGACAACGACTACGAGGGATCGGAACACGAGGACAGAACCACGAATCGACGTTCCGGTAAATCTATCAGTACTGGCGTGCAAATCAGACCGTTCACAAGGGGCAGACGAGTACGTCGGCAGGCTAGTCAGCTGAGGACGTATTCGAGTCGCTTCCGCCGACCGGGCGCGAAAGCCGAGGAGAAGACGGACGCGAGCGAGACCGCTGCCAGCAAAGACGAGAGCGGAAAGTCTGCGCCTAAGCCGATAGCTCGGTATAACAATCGCGGCAGGTCGTTGACGACGTCACGGCCGCCGCCAAAGACAGCGAACAATCCGGAGAAAACGTCGGCGGAGACGACGGAGTTAACTCAGAGCAAGGTGCGGCCACGAGCAAAGACGACCGGCGAGAGGAGCACCGCTTCTTCTAGAATAAAACCAACCCCGACATCCGGTAACGGTAGGCAATTCACACTGAGGGAGAAAGAGGGGACCGGTGCGAGCCGATCGAACTATAAAAGACCTAACTCTTCAGGAAGCTCCTCCCGAAGCAACGGCAGAACGTCGAGCAGCTCGGACAGAGTGAGACCTCCGAGGTTGAGGAACGCATCGAACAAGTCCTCCGAATCGTCGTCGTCCGGTTCGAGGCGAGTCCCGCCGTCTCGCGCTTCGTCAAGGTCGCCGGGTAGGAACGGTAGTAGGAGATCGTCGTCGCGCCGGGGATCCCTCGAGGATATTAGGGAGTCGCCCACCATTTATCCCGACTATGACGGAACGATTACGGTGACCCATTACGTCCCAACCGAGGTGACGATCCCTGTGGTAAATAACGGAGTCACGGAGCAGCGTAGCATCGTAACGGCCCAGCCCAGCACCGAGGTTCTCGGACCCTCTCAGTATAGCACGGTGACAGGTGGGGACGGCAGGCCGCTGGTGGTAATCGTTAGCGAGGTCACCGGTACTAACCTTCAAGGTCAGACCGAGGTCACCCGATTTCTGCTCCACGAGACGTCCACCACTCGGGTTTCCCACACGCTGACCACTCTAGGCGGCCGCAGAGCCTCGCAGTCGGTAATCGTCCCCACGACCGTGTATTCCGTAGAGAACGTAGTGTCCACCGTACAGCCGTCCTTGCAAGGGAACGCGCCTCTCGCGAACATCCTGCTATCGCAGCTGCTTCTCGGTCAGTTAGGTCAGGCTAATCCCCTGCTGCAACCCCAGGGTACGCCGTCGACGCAGTATAACACGCGCACCACCTCGTACGTCACGACGATCACGAAACAGCAGAGCACCGTGATCCCGCTAACGTTCCGCGGTAAGGAGATCCTGACGACCTTGGTAGACACCTCGACCGACGTCGTCACCGCGACAGAGTTCATCACGGACACGGTGGTCGTCACGCCCACGGCGGCCCTGCCCGCTGCCAACCTGAACTCTCTGTTGCTGTTGCTCCAGCAACCCCAGCAACCGGTCAAGAACTCGAACCCTCTGCTGGACCCCGTGTTCGCCGCGCCCCCGTTCACCCAGAGCAACACTTTGCCCGGTGAAGTCGAGAGGCGACACCAGCCAGCCGACTCCGATTACAAGCAAGACAGCTACGAGTACTCCGAAGACGACGACGAGGTGCAGGAGTACCAGAAGTCGTCGAGGCCGCGCAACGGCCGCGGCAAGTCGAACGACAAGAAGGAGGATCATCGTTCTAGCCAGGCGAAGGAGGAGTCCAGCGTGGTCACGCTCTACGTTTCCGGCCGGAGGCCCGGGGAGTTCAGCACTGTTCTCAGCACCGTGAAGGTCGGCGACATGGTTAACTCCTCCAGGAGGCGAAGGGACGCCGAACACACGGTCGAGGTCCGTCCTTCAATCCCGGCGTCTCTGCACGCGGGATCGGAGGAGATCACAACCCTGGCGGGAAGCGAGGAATCACTGGACGTTCACACGCCGACACAGAGTCTCGAGAGTGTAGTGGGTGACGTCGGACGGCACATTTCCACGTCTACACGCCCTTAACCACCGGCCGATCCTCTCTATCCAATCGTATCTACGTTCTGCTCCATTCGACCCCGTCCCCCCTCCCATACCCTAACTATCGTCATTCTTAATTAAGTCCATCACAACTCACTGACACCTACCTAGACCGAAGCTGACGACTCTTCTCGTTATCGTTAGTCACGCGGACGGTTCTTCGACGATCGAATCTCACTCGTTGCGAGAAATATTCGGCGACGATGATAATCATCGTGGTGTAATATATATATAGTGAATCCTTGGGGATCGTTGCACCTCGTTTTTTCTGTTTTTTTCTTTTTATTATCTTTTTTTTTTATTCTAACGCAAGAACGATTCTTCGTACAGTCGGGAAAGAACCGTGGGAAGCTCGCAGCTTCGGTTGAGCGAGAATCCTAGCCAGGTTTCTCGATCTCCATTCTTCGTCCTGCTCGCTCCCCCTGTCTTCTATTCTGTCTCCCACTGAAACTACCCCCCCCCCCCACATAGAGCGTCGTCCCGTACCCGCTAACACAGCCTCGAATCCGCCGCCGCACGCGCGACCACACGACCAAAACCCAGCAAGCATGGTACTCCCTGTATGTCGGCCAACAAACCCTGGTAAACGCTACTAAGTGCACGAAACGGCGAATGATCGAGCCTTGGATGGTCGTTTAACCCACTGGGTCGCTTAATCCCAGACGAGAACCCGAAATCCTTTCACGGTCGTGTTAGATGTAACCCGGGGGAACGACGAGGATTGCCACGGCACCGAGAATCATCGACTTTTCAGATGATTACCCCGACAACCACCGTCCTGGTGACTTCGATAGTAAACGCGTTGAGTGGTCCGACGAGGTTGCCCCGAGAGCTGCGGGCCCGACCGAGGATAACGACGACTACCTCGAAGAGGCGCCGAGGAAACGGGTCAGAATTCGCGTGCCCGTCGTCAGGAAGCACGGTAGGCAGCACAAGCTGACCGTCGTCAGACGTAGACCCCTAAGCCCGAGGACCCAGGATCCTCCGTTGGCTACCGCGAGTCACACGCCTAGAAGGATCGTGGTCACTAGGGTGAGGACACTCGGTCTGGCTAACTCGATACACACGGACGAACCGGAGAGCTTCAGGCCCGAACCCGGACGACACAAGGTGACCATCACTAGACGTCGCAAGATCGAGCCGACGTCCGTTCTACCGACCACCACTGCCGATAAGAGACCCAGGATAACCAAGAAGAGACTGATCGGTGTTAGACCGGTGCAACCGACGCCGAGCTTTGCCATCATCACCACTGGATTCTTCACTGCTCCGACTTCCGAGTACGAGGATTACTCGGAAGAGATTGAGGACGAGACAGAGGAGCCTAAACTAGAAGTCAGCACCACTTTTACGCCTGAACTGCAGGAACCTCCTAACGTTATCGACAACAAGCCTGACGCGGAGACATCCGCTGGCGCTGAGGAAACTGTGTCGAGAGTGCTGGAAGAGTCCAGTGTGAACGACCCTGTTATCATCACTGACAATTTCTTCTTCCCACCGGGCGAAGACGAGTACATGTACGAAGACGAGTATCAAGTGATTACGACAACCGAAAGCGGGGACGAACCGTCGAGCGAAGATATTTCAACGACGGTCGAATCGCCGATCAACGACGAAAACGTTGTGTCCAGCAACGATGATGTTACAGCTTCCGAGACACCTGCAAAGGAGATAGTCACAACTGTGGAACCTAAAGAGGACTCGGAGGAAACAGCAACTGAAATGGTCTCCAAAGAAGACGAGACACCCGAAGAGGTCTCGACAACCGCGAAACCGATTGAAGAACCAAGCACGCTGCCGGAGGAAGAAACCGTGACTACGCCATCGGATAATATCGAACCGACATTGCAAGAGGACGATTCTTTCACCATTGATCGTCCCGATATTAAAGAAGAAGGGAAAGAACAAACAACCGAAAAGGTGATGGAAACTACAGAGTTTATAAACGAAACTACAGTTATAAGCGTTCCCGAAGATCAGCCCGAAACGAGCACGCACGCCGAAGAGGATATCGAAACAGTCACCGATGTACCCGAAAGTACCGAGCAGCCTGTGTTATCCGCGGAGCCAATTGAATCGCAAACTGAATCGGAGCCGAAAGATTATTCTTCGGAAGAAGGCTCCGAGCACAATGTCGCTCCTGCGCAATCCACAGAGAGCTTGCTGAAAGAAGACGTAGAATCCCGCGATGCTTCGATAGAACCAACCGTTCAGCCAGAACCAAAGAAAACTGCGCTAGATGAGGAAGGAAAAGGTGTTCAGAAACCGATCGCAGAGACGACAACGAAGTCTCCGAGTAAAGAAGAAGCGCCGACAGTGCAACCGATTCCGCCGGTCACTGAACCCGCGCCGCCGTCACCGGTTGCTTCAATGGACACGACGTCGTCGTCATCGGTTACTTCATTGGACACGTCGTCGTCGTCACCGATTACTTCATTGGACACGACGTCGTCGTCATCGGTTACTTCATTGGACACGTCGTCGTCGTCACCGATTACTTCATTGGACACGACGTCGTCGTCATCGGTTACTTCATTGGACACGTCGTCGTCGTCACCGATTACTTCATTGGACACGACGTCGTCGTCATCGGTTACTTCATTGGACACGTCGTCGTCGTCACCGATTACTTCATTGGACACGACGTCGTCGTCATCGGTTACTTCATTGGACACGTCGTCGTCGTCACCGATTACTTCATTGGACACGACGTCGTCGTCATCGGTTACTTCATTGGACACGTCGTCGTCGTCACCGATTACTTCATTGGACACGACGTCGTCGTCATCGGTTACTTCATTGGACACGTCGTCGTTATCGGTTACTTCATTGGACACGTCGTCGTCGTCGGCTACTCCGTTGGACACGTCGTCTTCGACCGATATTGCTCCCAGTTTCGCCAGTGTCTTGCCCCTCGAGACGTACCAGTCACCGTCTCCTAACACCCCGAGCCCTAGATACCTAGACGATTCCGAAATACCGAGCGTGATCCCTCTGGGAGACGATTACACTCCCTCGTCGGACGCGGAGATGACCTCGGAGAGCTTCGAGGCCACCCCGAGTCTCGATGTAACCGAGGTGACGACCTCCATCTCGTCACCGACTCCCGAGGACATCGAGGCGGGATTGGCCGACGACCTGTACCTGTCCCTGTCGAGACCGGACTTCCCCCAGATCTTACCCTCGAAACCGACCACCGTCGACCATCACCAGACGAAACCCCCACCCGACCTTGAACCGAGCACGAGCGTTTTCTATACGGAGACTGTAGTGACATCGACCAGATTAAGAACGTACACGTACGTGGTGACGCAACAGAACGGACTGGAGACAAAAGTAACGTCCTCGACGACCGTCAGACCGAGAGTGACGACCCTTACGTTGACGGTGCCCGTCACGGTGACTGTCACTCCTACTGTGGAGTCGTCAGCAAACGCTGTGTCGTCTGTGTATAGTCCAGTGCCTGCTGCTGGTGAGTAGCTATACGACTTTCCGAGCCTATTCTACGAGGATCGTCGTGTGACCTGAACATGCCGTCGATCAATTATTGTTCATCGGGATCCTAAAAGAGCTAGGGGGTTCGCATGAAACTATTCACTTTTGTAAACGGAAGTTGTTTCCTTCGAACTTTGGACTTTTATGTTGCTTCCTTTTCTGTTCTCGACAACTTTGTACATGATACGGTGTTATTGGTCGATTATTTATTAACTTTTGCGAAGAAGTTAATCGTCTTCTTTTCTAAATGTGTGCACTGTTTGAAAGTACGCGCATTATGCGACTTGCATTGGTTTTTGTAGCGGAATTTTTTTTTAGAATTGTAAAACGGGGGTCTGCCTTTGTAGAAAGTAAAAATTCATGAAGATTCGATGAATTTGAATGAATAAGAATTGAGAAACATTCGTCGTTTATAGTCTACGCAACGTCATACATTAACAGAATCTTCATGAACATTTATTTCCATCGACCTAGTTATTTTGACATTTTTGAATATGTTAGGAACAAGAAATTACTACAAATTGTTCAATGGGTGTACTTTCAAATATACTGATTTAGGAAAAAGTTCGCTAGTTTCTTCACAGAAAGTATCTAAATATCATATTTTATTTAGATTATAAACTAGACATTCGAATGTTCAATTCCAAGCAGGAACCAAAAATAACAATTATCCCAAACAACTTTGTGTCAAACATCGGTAATGCAAATTTAAATTTATTTATTTTATCTAAAGTCGCTTAACGTCACAGCGTAAAGAAATTCTTATATTTTGGTTACAAATAATTATATTTGTATAGCTTTATCTATCTGGTACAGATTCAAGGTTTTAATTTCATTGTTTATATATATTGATTAAGCATTTCTGTCCAACTATAACTTTCTTTTTCATTCAAGAAAATAAAAGTTCCTCGTCTACACAGAAATGCACAATGTAAAAGTTCCAGTTCAAACGTTGCATTTTATAACAGTTTCCTCGAAATCGAAAAGATAATAATAAGACACTGAAATTGTTACATAATTATTTGAAATTTGTAAGGATTTCATTCAACCCGTGATAAGAATCCGTCTTTCAATTGACGAAGCGATCGATAATTGATTCAGACCACACGATGATCGATGTACAAAATGATCTTTAGACTAATATCACTTCCTCTCGAGGTAACGCACTCGAGATTGTACAAATTCTATTCCAAGTCTCGCTCCAATTGGCTTCTGGCATTCTAAATTCTTCCCTGTGCAATAGAACTCTTTGATACGTGTACATATACTGTAAATGAATGATCTTGTACATACTTGATCGCCTGTTGTTGCGTGTATATTTGTCTCTTCTCAACTTTAATCGAGGATTTTCAGATTCTTGACTCTTTCTGTATTGCGAAATCGATGGGTATGATTTTCGTTTCGTGTACTGTACAATACTTTGGTATGAGTAGAGCTGGTGCTACGATCTATGACAACGTGTGAGTTCAATTACTATTTGCAAATAGACTCTGTTTTATTGTTTTTATGTATTATACGTTCTCTATACAGTTTTTTGCTTGATCGTAACTTATTAGGTAACAATATAACAAAATAACAATAAATGTATTATATGGACTGTAAGGTATAAGAATGAACAATGATGTTGATACGTCTTCCAAATATGATATATGTGTTTACGTATTACGTCAGGCCAACGCTCTCATTTGCAGATTAATTGACGCTCGGTCAATATATATATAAAACGTTACGAATCACGTAATTACGAGGTCTAGCAGCAACGCGATTCATTAAGAAGTATGTGCAGTATAGTTAACGTCCACGACAAGCGCCTGTGGATCTGCAACACTCGTACACAGTTGTATCAAGTTGCAGTTAGACAGGCGTATTCAGATGGATCTGCACAAAATTCTATACGTTGAGCTTCTTAGTTTGGTTACAAAATTGATTTCGGGTGTTTTCTGATATTAGGATGTAGTCAAAGTCACTGAATGTTGCACTGTGTTTAAATAGAAAATCTCCGTGTATGCTAGTAAGTATACAAGATAGACTAAATACATATATGGCACAAAAGCAAAATACATAATTAACGAAGTCAGAAATAATGGCTCAAAGCAATTGCATTGTATTTTACAAACAATGTTTCCGATCAATCTTATTTGCTTATCTTGCTTGTTACGCGCCATTTTTCAAGTTCATTTATTGCTTAATCTCTTTATCTTGAAACAGTTTTTCTAAACACTCGATAAACGATAAGATTTATTATAAAAATTATTTCTAAACCACAAAGTCATAGTAACCGGCCATCATTTTTGTACTAATTTAATATTGTGACGAAAATTAACTTTTAAATATAAAGAATTGTATTTAAATCATGCGCACGCGACAGTGACCGGGTCAGTTGCTTCTCGGCAAGTTGTAGATCATACAAAAAAGAATGAGGATCTATTAGAATGGGATAGGTAGTCTATTTATAAGATCGCAGAATCGTGCAGATATTTACACGATGATTTAGTTATAATTAGAAGGTATTCGAAGTGAGAGCTGGATCATGATGTAACAGCGTGAATTGCAATGACAGGAGAGCACGAAGTGAAAGATGAAGAAGGTCGAAGGTTCAATCTGGCCACTCGTGTAATGTCGAATGGCGTCGAGGTGATCGTGGCGGGTCCAACACCGGCGTTGCGATGGGAGAATTCTATGCCGCAGCCCACGCTGACATTGTCTGACGCGGTCGTCATGATGCTTCCTCAAGATAAGCCGAATGAATTTGTCACGAAGACGTGTACTACAACATTCACATACCTCACTACGATCACCAAGGACGGTACAACTACCGTTTCGACGGAACAACAGGTGAGACGGCAGGGTATTGTCATCATTAACAATAAACAAGGATCTAAGGATTATCTTAGGATTATCTAACATTAGACGCTGCTTTGAATCGAATTTTAAAGTTGGAAGATACTTGTAAAATAGATACATTATTTATACATTTTACGTACACTACCTTGTGAGTAAAGTAGAGCAGTAATTGATTATTACAAGCAATGATGGTAATCATAATCATTAATCAATGAATCGTTTCTGGAATAAATCTGTAATCGTTATCACAGTTAGTTTGTAATTTTATATATATATATGATTACATTTAGTAATCTTTAACCCTTTCGCTACGGGCGGGTTCTCCACCGCGGTACTTCCGCTGAACGGAGCGCCGCGACATCACTGCACGCTACGCGACGCCGATCGTCAGCGGGAGTACCGCGGCGGAGAACCTAAGCTGCTTGAATGTTTTCGTACGAAAAAATTTCTCTCCAAAGGGTATTTATAAATAAAGGGTATTCCAGGGTATTTATAACGTCTTAGCATGCGCTCTTTAATTTACAGTATGAGAGGAAATAACATTATGCAATATAATGCATCTTATGGAAGGCCACTATAGTGGCCCNCACTGTGTTTAAATAGAAAATCTCCGTGTATGCTAGTAAGTATACAAGATAGACTAAATACATATATGGCACAAAAGCAAAATACATAATTAACGAAGTCAGAAATAATGGCTCAAAGCAATTGCATTGTATTTTACAAACAATGTTTCCGATCAATCTTATTTGCTTATCTTGCTTGTTACGCGCCATTTTTCAAGTTCATTTATTGCTTAATCTCTTTATCTTGAAACAGTTTTTCTAAACACTCGATAAACGATAAGATTTATTATAAAAATTATTTCTAAACCACAAAGTCATAGTAACCGGCCATCATTTTTGTACTAATTTAATATTGTGACGAAAATTAACTTTTAAATATAAAGAATTGTATTTAAATCATGCGCACGCGACAGTGACCGGGTCAGTTGCTTCTCGGCAAGTTGTAGATCATACAAAAAAGAATGAGGATCTATTAGAATGGGATAGGTAGTCTATTTATAAGATCGCAGAATCGTGCAGATATTTACACGATGATTTAGTTATAATTAGAAGGTATTCGAAGTGAGAGCTGGATCATGATGTAACAGCGTGAATTGCAATGACAGGAGAGCACGAAGTGAAAGATGAAGAAGGTCGAAGGTTCAATCTGGCCACTCGTGTAATGTCGAATGGCGTCGAGGTGATCGTGGCGGGTCCAACACCGGCGTTGCGATGGGAGAATTCTATGCCGCAGCCCACGCTGACATTGTCTGACGCGGTCGTCATGATGCTTCCTCAAGATAAGCCGAATGAATTTGTCACGAAGACGTGTACTACAACATTCACATACCTCACTACGATCACCAAGGACGGTACAACTACCGTTTCGACGGAACAACAGGTGAGACGGCAGGGTATTGTCATCATTAACAATAAACAAGGATCTAAGGATTATCTTAGGATTATCTAACATTAGACGCTGCTTTGAATCGAATTTTAAAGTTGGAAGATACTTGTAAAATAGATACATTATTTATACATTTTACGTACACTACCTTGTGAGTAAAGTAGAGCAGTAATTGATTATTACAAGCAATGATGGTAATCATAATCATTAATCAATGAATCGTTTCTGGAATAAATCTGTAATCGTTATCACAGTTAGTTTGTAATTTTATATATATATATGATTACATTTAGTAATCTTTAACCCTTTCGCTACGGGCGGGTTCTCCACCGCGGTACTTCCGCTGAACGGAGCGCCGCGACATCACTGCACGCTACGCGACGCCGATCGTCAGCGGGAGTACCGCGGCGGAGAACCTAAGCTGCTTGAATGTTTTCGTACGAAAAAATTTCTCTCCAAAGGGTATTTATAAATAAAGGGTATTCCAGGGTATTTATAACGTCTTAGCATGCGCTCTTTAATTTACAGTATGAGAGGAAATAACATTATGCAATATAATGCATCTTATGGAAGGCCACTATAGTGGCCCATAGTACCTCAGTGGCATCTTATGAAAGGCCACTATAGTGGCTCGTAGTACCTCAGTGGCATCATACGAAAGGCCACTATAGTGGCCCGTAGTACCTCAGTGACATCTTATGGAGGGCCACTATAGTGGCCCGTAGTAGCGAAAGGGTTAATCATCTAGAAGTAATCTGTAATCTGTAAGACAGATTTTCTAAGAGCTGTTTAATATCATCGTAACTACATATGACCATGTAACCATATACAAATAATATTATTTTATTGATTGTTCATAATCAATAGTTATTAATCAAGATTGCTGGACTAGTTTAGTGATCGTAATTATCAATAACGCTCATGATTTCACGTTGATTAGAATCGTTGATCATCAATCAGATGATTGATTTTTTCGCCCACCTTTGACAATGGTATCACATGGATTGATTGTAATCTGGCGTCATCTGGCCGAATGCAAAGTTTATATGATAAAATTATGTGTAAAATTGCTAAAAACACTTGTGCTTTGTGAAGGTCGTAGCGAATACTGCTACAGAGGAACGCCACAGGAAGCCCGGATCGGAAACAGCTGCAGTGACCTTAGAAGCATCGCCGACCTTGAGGACTGAAATCTTCAAAACAACGTACACATACCTAACTCTGAACACCGATCACCCGAACGTAAACGATGCGTTAGAGAGCAGCTCTAAAGTGATCACGAACACAGTGACCGCTCCGCAGCATTATTTAGACATGATTTTGGAGCCGTCGGAAGCACCTAGACCGGAAACGAACACGTACCTCAGTACGAGAGTGCTGGAAAAAACCTTTATGGAGGACGAACGGACGAGAATCGAAACCACTAGTGATACTGTTACACAGGTTGGTGTTTTACTGTTCAAAAATTGGCAAATTATCAAGTAATATCTGTTCTTTAAATGTTTACCTTCCGCCAGCAATATGGTGGCGTAATTTGCAACCTGTCATTCCTCTGGCACAATTTTTTTACTATTCTTTGCTTTAATGAAAATCTGAAAAAATTCCTGATTATTTATCATAATTTCTGATTTATCGTGGAAACGATCTTTTTAATTGAATATCTAAACCCTTGTGACATAGAAAGAAAAATGTGGCAAATAGTTTGAAAGAATCAATGTCTCGATTGTTCTACGCGTTGTTTGTTTACAATCGGCCGGACTCGAGTTCCCCGTTTCGTGGAAATTCAGTGTTGCGACTAATTTGGGGCTAATAGGAAGAGATCATTTCTGCCAATAAGGGAAACGCGTTTACCCTACTTCTACAAGGGTGTTAGAATAGGTGGTTTGGTAGGGATCGGTTCTAGATTTTTCTCAACGAATTTCTTTTAAGCAACGGTGGGCCGTACAGTTGGATAACTTTCATTCGAAATCAATTTGAATACTTCAGTACGAATAGAATTATCTAAATAATGCTAAATCAAGTAATCTTCGAAATTTCTGTTTACATTTGATCATTACAGTTACAAATTTGTGAAATTCATCGTAAAGTTAATTACCAATATATTATCCACAGCTTATAATAACGGAATCCGCACCGCCGCCGCGTCCGACAAGCGTTACCACCACTCTGACAGCATTGGATCACACCGAGGAGAGCATGACTGATGTAATGAAGACTTATTATATTACCTATACGTATTACAATACGTTCCTGGAGAAAGGTAGCACAGTGGTGCGCACAAACGTGGCGACGTCCACCGACGTTGTCCTGGAGAAAGTACCCGTTAAGAAGACCACGAAGACAGCATTGGTGAACCCGACCCCTGAACCCATTCAAATCTTCGCGACAAAGACGTATCTGACGACCTTTACATACTTTACAACATTGCTGCAGGTAAGTCGTTAGTACAAATTTTAACAATTTCTAGAAAGAAATTCTTTACTTCTTCCGCTCTAATTTAGTTCTCCAATCATTTTAATTTATTTTAAACATGTGATTTCTCTGTGAAACTATTGGGTTGGCAACTAAGTAATTGCCGATTTGTTCAATGAAATAAAAAATTTTTTTTACTTGGAATGAAGTTTAATCTGTAATGTATTTTCCATTTTGTTCGATGACCTTTTGCCATCTCTCCGACAACTTGAAAATTCCACGCTCGTAGAAAGTCTGATCCTGTTCGGCCAAAAACTGAGTTAAGTGAGATTCTACAGCGTCATCATCATTCAAAGTTTTACCACGAAGGGAGTTGTCCAGGGATCGAAATAAGTGGTAATCCGATGGCGCGAAATCAGGGCTATATGGTGGGTGTAACATCATTTTCCAACCAATATCTATCAACTTTTGCCGAGTGGACAAAGACGTGTACGGCCTAACATTGTCCTGCTGGAAAATGACACCTTTACGATTGACCAATTCTGGTCGCTAACATTCACGGATAATAAAAAATAACATAATAATAATAATAATAATTTTATAATATAACATTTACGGATATCATAAAAATGGGAGTGAGAGACATCTATAATTGAAATCGGCAATTACTTAGTTGCCAACCCAATATTTAGGTTCATGATCCTGATTCAAATTGATACTAAATTGTGCTTAAGGAATTTATTTCTGATATCTAGAATAACATAATTTCCATATTATTATAGTCTTAACAAGATTACATATCTCATTAGCTTTTGATAGCATGAAGAAATATTAAAGAGAAACATTATTTTTGATTAATCAAAAGTGAAATATTAAAATGTTTCTTTGACATACTTCGCATAAAAGTAATCTATGATAAAATTGCGCGTAAAATGAACGCGGGCTCATCAATAGCATTTTAAGCAAATTTACATCATCTAATTTAAACCATAAATGGAACAGCTTTATGTGAACAAATGGATCACTGTATGTGTATGCATTCATCGTTGTATCATACTTTTTATAGGACACGAAGGCATCTTTCTCGTATAGTACATTATAATTTATGATTGAAATTCGTGTGTGAAAAGGCTGGAGCAGATGGAGAAACATCCACCACAGTGTCGTCACGATCTCATATCGTGGAGAACGTCGTCACGGAATCGATAGCGCCTAGTTTACTGGATGCAGGATACATGAATGCTTTGCTGACAACAGCACATCACTCTGACCCAGTAAAGAACGTGGTAACCGGATCAACGATCATCTTTTTCGACGAGGAGGATCAGATCGATCCCACTACCACAAACTTCCCAGAATCTACCGCCACGGTTGACAATCAGAAAGACGAAACTTTTGCCGCGAGTTTGTTAGCAACAGAATCGTCTCCTGTCGCAAGCGAATCGAACCTGAAGCCCGTCGTACAGAACAATCAGGTAATTCGATTTGCTTTAAATGTCTTCCCCTAAATAGAATCGATTAGACAACAACCTATTCATCAATTGTTTTGTTTCGTTGCGTGAAGCTAAACAATAGTCAATTATCGTTGAGATGTAACCTGAAACATTAATAAAAAAGAGAAAATTTGACAACGTAAAATTGAAAATACTCGTTCAAAGACCTTTAACAATTTCTCAACGTTTAAAATGTTACTAGTTCTATTGTTTCTGTTGTGTCAATTTTAATAAATACTAACTACGAACTTTTGTCATATACTTTTTCCTTTAAATACCGCGGATCTTTGTGCAAAAATATTCTGTGTCAATTGCAAGATTACAGACGCTGCTCGTTGAAGAGACAGTTTCTTGACATTGAACCTACTTCTAAACTGTAATATTAATTACAGGAAAACAACGTAACTACGCCAGCTTCCGGTGAAAACGGTCCGAACAAAAGACCAGCTAACCAGAACGCAAGCGATCTTCAAGTGAGCAATCTCCTGAGTCTGGGATCACTGGGGATCAACGCGTTGGGTCCAGTTATTACGGCGATGGCCGGTTTGTTGCAAGGAAAATCCACGATGACACGCAGAAATGATACGGTGCCACAAGCAGAATCTCTGGAAGTTACCACCCAAAGATCACCGATCTACATACCAGTCGCCGAGTTTGCTGACGGGGACATAGAAACCGCTGAAAGTCAAAATATAGGTAAAGATCTGAATTAAAAATTGATTGTCGGGACGCAAATCGTACATTTATGATGTTCGAAAAAATTGGAGGTAGTTTAGCAATCATAATAGATGTCCCATCATATTCCTATAACGCGAGTATTTCTTTCGAGAAATAGATTATAATTATTTCATAAAAATATTTTATATCATATTTTGAACATTAATAATTTGAAACAGTTTTCACATTGCTAAGAAGATATTCCTATAACGCGAATATTTCTTTCGAGAAATAGATTATAATTATTTCATAAAAATATTTTATATCATATTTTGAACATTAATAATTTGAAACAGTTTTCACATTGCTAAGAAGATATTCCTATAACGCGAATATTTCTTTCGAGAAATAGATTATAATTATTTCATAAAAATATTTTATATCATATTTTGAACATTAATAATTTGAAACAGTTTTCACATTGCTAAGAAGATATTCCTATAACGCGAATATTTCTTTCGAGAAATAGATTATAATTATTTCATAAAAATATTTTATATCATATTTTGAACATTAATAATTTGAAACAGTTTTCACATTGCTAAGAAGGTATTCCTCTATAACGCGAGTATTTCTTTCGAGAAATTGATTACAATTATTTCATAAAAATATTTTATATCATATTTTGAACATTATCATGAACATACTATTAATAATTTGAAACAGCTTTCACATTGCTAAGAAGATAGCCGAAGTCATAATAGCAGTTCATTTTTATTACTTCAGTCTTGCAATACAGATGTGGACAGGTACTATACCTTTCTCCATTTTTCGGAAAACAGTCTGTAATTTGCTTTTCTCCTATTTACAAAATATTTTAAGTCGAATGTTTTTTAGTCATTGTTGACCTCAGTTCAGATCTAATCACCAAAACAATCCGAAGCAGACAGCGAAATAAATGCCAAATTTGTCTTCAAGGTACTCATCTCGCCAACCTGAATCATAACTACATAGCAGAAACGCGGCACAAAGTAGCATCCAGTCTGGCGGATGGAATCCCGATTTCGCCAGGTGAAGTGATCACCGCGAACAGTGACGTTATCATCGGCAAGCCAGGTAAAATGGCGCCCAGGCCTCCGCAAACGTACTTAGGTGACGAAGGACACATTGGCATGAAACCACCTCCGTTACCAGTTCCTAATATTCCGGTGCACCCAGTTCTCGAGGTTGTGGAGAATGATCGAGACGATTCGCAGTCGCAAGAAACGATTCAGTTCCACAAAGGACCTCAGATACAGATATACCCAGCGCACCAGGTTTATGAAGAACACCTGAAGATCCCGGTTTCAATACCTGTAGAAACGAATCCGGTGTTGATACCTAAACAACCTCAGAAATTGCATCCTGTTCAGTCATCGCCGCCGAAGAGACTGGGATCGAAGCAGGATGCCCTGGAAAATGATCCTCTGTTGAAGCCGCCCGACAGGCCAAACGTGGAACAGTACGCTAATCCTAATTCGAACTTGAAGGAGCCGGAATGGAGTCCTGAGAAATCGAGAAGACCTTGGAGCGCCAAGGATCCTGCGAAGTTTGGGGTGCCTCATCCACAATTTGATCAGGTGTGGACTTTTTCTGTTAAAGGAGTTTAATTTAGGGTTATAATTCCAAAGTCGAACTACTTTTTAATCGGTGTGAGTATACAGGGTGTCCCAAAATTATGGTACTTCTCGCTGAGGAAAAAGTTACTTCAAATGACCTCAGGAACCCCTCATTTCCCAGAGATATCATAATTTTGGGACACCCTGTATATATATACTTTAATTTCGGTGATTATATATAATATCACCTAAATTAAAAGGATTAAGAAGTAGAGAGAAACGAAACAATCGGTATATTTTAGAATGAGGTTTTCATTTCTCGGTAAAAAATTTGTTAGTTTTCTGTATTAAGAAATTCAAATTTTGTAAATAGTGACGTCTGATATATAAGTTTATACAATGAAGTTTAAGCATTGTATTAATTGAAGTTATAATGTCTCCAAGTTATTTTGAAAATTTAAAATGTCTCCAAGTTGTCACAATTACAAGAATATTAATTTGGCTCGTAAAAATTTCACAGAAAATGGACTCCGCGAAGCCACTGTTAGAGAAACCATGGCCAACGGTTTCAACTGAAGAGCAGAAGCGACCGTTATGGGCCCAGCAGGATCCTTTGATTCCAGGATCTTCTATTGTCATCCAAAGTTCGGAATCTAAACCCACGATATCAGAGCCTATTGTCCATCAAGTGCCTCATGTCATCGACAGATCCACAGGCCAGCCACTGTTAGTCAACATTCAACCCAGTCAGGTTGCCAATGTCGTGATTCCTCAAGGTGGCACTCAAGCTCTTATATTCGGCGATACGAGTGAACCCCACATAAGCGGACAATATTTCGATGATCCTTCGCCTTATCCGGAATCTGACATTGGTTTGGGATTCATGGGGATGCAAAGGGTAAGAATTTTGATTAACAGTTAAGGGAGTACTTCGATATTTGTGTATTTCAATCAGCATGTTCACAAGATCGATTCACGCACATTTCGTATTTACATTACAAAAAAGTGAAACTTTCAGAAGAAACTATAAATTCGAACTATTTAAAGTCATTTAATTGATCGAGTCGAAAGTAGATCTATCTAGCTGAAATCTACCATAGTAATTATTAGTTTAACTTCTTAGCAACGTATGTGTCGTAATTCTATGTCACACACACGAGTTTCTCTGTATCCAGGTAGAAGATCTGCAACAGTACCCCAATGGAAAAGATCCTGCAGACTATATGGTACCACCGTCTCCACCATTGAACTTCAGAACCCAGGAGAAACCAGGTTCTCCGAATCGACCAGCCTCCATTCCTCTATCACAGGACCGTTTCAAATACGAAAGGCCGCAAGACAAATTAGAAACCCCAGTCCTAAGACCCTCGAAGCTGCCAACGGACGTGCGCTTGATTAGACACTCCAACACTTCAAATGTTCTGGGTGGGCAAGGTCACATTCACACAGAGATCTTGATGCATCACCGACCAGAAACGGTGAACGTTCGTCCTCAAGGAGGACTGTACGCTCCGAGTCACGCGCATGCCCCACCTCGGGGACAATTCCCGAAGGTTCAGAAACCTGGCGAGTCCGGAAACCCACCTAGAAGAATAGAAGTGTCGACACCATCGGACAACTCCCATCGGTACATTTTGCTATCCAAGCCAGACTCGGGGAACGAAATTCTGTTGAACTCAAATTGGAAAGATAAGAAGCCTACGCGGATTCTAGTGAACAATAGACCGAGGCCGCGTCCGCCATTATGGTCCACGACGAACCGTCCTCTAGACAGGCCGATCTACGTGGAGAGGCCGAATATCAGGAAGCCTATTTTCAGTGGACCCCAGAGACCTCCGCCGAAGACACAGAATCAGGGCACGTATGTACTTCCGCATCGTCCAATCATCAATTTGCAAATTCATCATGAACCTCCGAGGATATCAACTGCCAGGCCAAGCGATGACGATGAGGGCGCTACTGATAGGCAGCCTTCGTTTAGACCTCTTCAGGTAAATATTAAATATTGTCCGTCGGAAGAACGAACTTCTGCGCAAACCGGTCTAGTATTTCCAAAGTAACCGGTTAATTATCGACACAGAGAAATATATGTGTAATTTAGTAATAATGTTGAACTAGATCAAGAAAATGCAACAATTAAGAAACAATGGAAAAACTAATGTCGTCATAAGTTATTTGAATTTTACAGCAAGTAGACTTACCATGCTTTTTTGTCGAGTATTCTTCTCATAATTTGAAAATAAGTGAAATTAATAACTAAAGTTATCAAGTGCTACAAAGATTAGAACTTTCAATTACCATTATAAACTATTATATATATAGATTTTGCATAAAGATCCGCAGCGCGTTGATCGCAAATAAATTTTCAAAGATAATTAATATTGAAAATAACCAATCAATCGCTTTCACAGATCGATCTCCAAGACAGACCACCGCATTTCTATCAAGAGAACAAAAGGCCATCCACTACTCCATTGAAACCACAAGCAGAATACAACGAGGAACACTTGCCCACTGGAGCTAAAGAGTACCACAATCCTTCGAACCCGAAAGTAAAGCCGGACGACCCTAAGTCAAGTGTGAACGGTCAGAACATCGATCAAACGCTCCCTAACTCAGAAATGCCGTCAGAGTCCTGGCACAAAGATACTCAAGTGGATAAGACACTGGACTCCGAGATTGGAGCGTCCGAATACGTGAAATATCACAACCAGATAAAAGTGATTCAAGAACTTGAGAAATCGAAAGGCGAGGAAGGTGCCAACATTCCACGCAGTAACGTAACATTGCACGAGAACTCAGCATCTGGTAACATAGTGATTGGCAAGCCAGTGGGGTTGGATCAAACTCAAGAGCAAAAAGAGAAACCCATTTGGTTGAGTCCTGGAGTGCCATTTGGTCACAAGACCGAGGCTGCTCCTGGCCAGGTGATATCCTACGGACCAACATACTATAATACACGACCTAATGATATGGCGATCGTGCAGGGGAAGCCTTTCGGTGTTTACAACGGTCACAACGATCCGTCGCAATATGGTCCGAAGAGGAAGGAACCCAGGCCTGATTACGACATAGTGCAAGGGGTACACACGACTTACTATGGGAACAGAAAACCAAACGACAATCTACATTTGGAGGTGCAGACGTCGACAGCTAGACCCTATGATCGTGACGACACGATAGACCTAAGGCCACCAGCAATCATTCCCCATTTCGGGCCGGAAGTGGACAAACCCAGCAGGTACCCTAGGCCGCCTACTATAAACAAAGTTGAAACTAGGCCAGCGCTGTATCTGAGGCCAGAAACCGTGACCCATCCGTCTGAGAAGAAGCCTGGCCAGGTGAAGCAGCACGTCGAGGTGAAGCCAGAACCTGCGGAATCGCTTACGAATAGTACTCTATCTCACGAAGTTAAAACTAATAAGAGTCAGTCACAATTGGGAGGCTTCGTGAACCTGAATCGGCAGGGTGCTACGAAGGCGCCCGATCAACGACTGGACGAATCAAGGCCAAGCGGACAGGAGTCTCACTCGAACAAGAGCGACACCATCGGAACTACCTTCAGAAACAGTAGCGTGTCTCAGAGACCTGACGTACATTTCCAATCTAACCTGGAGATCGCAAAGCCGACGTTCGAGAAAACTCGTCCTAAGGTGACGTATCCGGAGTACAGTCCTGGAACCAGGATTCATCCGGAGTATCCCCATATCATTACGAAACCTAGGCCACAGGTTCCAGGGCCAATAACCATCACGACAGGTAACATCAAGCCAGACACCAGGCCAAACATCAAATTTTCGCTGCCCGTCGAAGCTATAGGGCAGGAAGTGGACAGCAAGACGCAAACCGAGCGACCACCGAGCATGCTGATCACGGTGACCAATCCGAACGAGAAGAAGAAGAACGACGAATCCCTCGAGACTGCTTACCAGACCAACTTCGCGGTGGCGGGCGTGGACAAAGGCGATTCGATCGAGCACGAGACCAGGATCAGACCGGTTGAACCGTCTACTGGGGATGTGTTAGGTATCGAAGGAGTGCACGTGCCATCTAGGGACATGATGCCTCCACCTCTGAGACCTCCGGTGCTGAACCAATCAAATAAAAATGAAGAAGAGGATCTGAAGCCTCCGCCGATTCCTTCCCACGATGTTGTTGGACTGTCTCCGCCACCGGTTGACATCACAACAACTAGCGGCCCCATGGAAGACCGATTTCCCTTTGCAATCGCAAACGACTCTGGTCTGAAGCCTCCACCTAAGTATATCCCCTTGAAGGAAGCGTCTGTTGCTCCTCTGCCAAGCGTCAGCATGATTCCACCTAGCCCTAGACCCTCCGTTGCTAGGCCTTTCATTGTGGAACTGCTTTCTCAGGTGAGTGTCATTAGTAACCTGCCGATTTTGATGATCTGTGGATCTTAGTTTGCTTTATTTTTCAAGTTTGTTATCTTTCTTAACACCTTGACTGCCACGCCAATATCCTAAAAAAATCTCACAAAATTATAGTATTCAAGCAAATTACATCAACCCACAGATGCTAATCAAATTACGAACAGACGTCGGCAGCTAGACCCTACAACAGATAATAGATTAGCGTACCAATTAATTTTCAAACGTGTGTTAGTAATTCCGTCACCTATACAGGGTGGGGCATTTTAAACAGGTCATCTGAATAACTCGCTTGTTTTTGAAGATAGGAGGAAATGCATTAGACCAAACTTACTTCGTATCGGGGGGTTCATATATATAATCTGGTATTACCAATTTTTCTGTAGGGGGAGGCGTCAAGGAGATATGAAGGTCAATTCTGTGTTTTTAAATGGAACAGTAAGTTTCTTAACTTACATTCTGATGGAGTGTTTCGAGGCGAATACAATGAACTATTATAAAAGTCATTCAAGGTCATCCAAAGTGACACAGAAAAGCAAAGCTAAAATACAGTAAAATGGCAAATAATCACACAAATTTCTTTATAAATCCAATCAAAAAATAATGTCATCTATTTACTTGTGTGCAATTTTTATCGTCATAATGTAAAAGCTAAAATCAAGTCCAATGCAACGACCGCAACACTATGACCATATGACATTTAGTACGAAAAGTCCAGAAATATTTACGACGTTTCTAATCCTTCGCTGAAATGTATAAATCTCTGAATTTTTTTCCAAATTATTTTCTAAAACAGATCATTTAAAATTACCAATAATGTTTGAGGATACAGATAAGCATACAATGTGATTGAATTTTTGTTTATCTTTTGTGACCCGTGTCACACACGTAATACACAACGTAATTCACACACGTGATACACAAGTATTCGAAAAGTACTCTGAGACAATTTATTTTCTCTTGCAGTTGAATTTGGGTGACCATGAATGACCTTCATAATAGTTCATTGTATTCGTCTCGAAACACTCTATCAGGATGTAAGTTTGGCGGCGGTTCGTAGTGTGGAAAAGGAAAGGGGAGACGTTTCGTCCGGGACCCGCTAGAGGACTCATCGGTAAGGCTATCCTAGCGGGCCCTTGCCTTAGACGTAAGGGTAGGACAAAGTTTCGGTGTATATATACGGATCGAGGCGGATCGGTTACCAGCGGGAAGAGAAGCCCTCTGCTGGCAGGTCTGGAGGTAGCCGCCACATAAGTAAAAAAACTTACTGTTCCATTTAAAAAAACAGAATTGACCTTCACCTACAGAAAAATTGGTAATACTAGATTATATATATATGAGCCCCCTGATACCAAGTAAGTTTGGTCTAATGCATTTTCTCCTATTTTTAAAAACAAGCGAGTTATTCAGGTGACCTGTTTAAAATGCCCCACCCTGTATATGAGTGACGTGGCAGTCAAGGTGTTTTTACATTTTAAAAAACGTAAGAGTGTTCTTAGAGTCTTTTGATCTTTTCACCGTTCTGTATTTTACATACTCAACTTTGTTATAAATGCGTCAAATCCGCAGTCTAGTTATTACAGTTCTCCAGATTCGTCATTGTAGCATTAGACTGCTTATGGCGAATTTAATGGATGTACCAGAAAGATGATTTTCTAATTTCACATGATAATTTTGTGATCACCTAGGAATAACGTGTGTGAGAATATCGTCGTATTTGAACTAACTCGAATCGAAACTAATGCAGGACATCATATTCAATTGAAATTATGTTCAAATTGAATTGAACACAATCAAACTGAACGGACTTTGTGAATTTGTTACTTTGTTGAAGTTCAATGGACACTGATTCGTTGTTTGCTTTGCTTACCAGGACATGGTACCACCACCACCAGCGACGCAAACTACCAGACCTCTCGAAATAGCAACAATTAGGCCAGCAGTCGCAGTGTCTGGTTCGATACAAATCGCTACTGCCGTTGCAACCTCCCACATACCAGTCATCCACGATATCGAGTCGAAAATACCAATCATACATGGAACTGTTGATCTTCCAGTGGTCGTTGACGTTCCTGAGATTCTCAGGCCGGCTGAGACCAGGATGACAGAGCATGTTAGCATCTACACTGTTCGGCCGTTTGACACCAAGCCTGTGTCCAGGTACTAAAATGATATCCATTTTCAATTCATCTAACAATACCAGTGCAACGATACATTCTACGTTAATTTAGCCTCCATAAGAATATGTAAACAAAATTACAATCATATCTAAAGAAATATGAAAAAGAATACGTATTCCATATTTTTGGTATTATTATGATTCTAATATTAACATACTTATCGTATAATCAATAATAAAAGTATACACTATTTTCAATATATAGTCACATAATTACGCTATAACCGAACAGGCGTAATTAAATTTGAATAACAAAAGTATACGACATTTTCAATATACATATAGTTATATAATTACACTATAGCCGAACAGGCTTATTTTTTGAATTGAACGAAATCTTTATTTGAATTCAACAATTTTTTGTTGAGAAAAAATTCATTCACGACCTAAAAATTAATCTGATACAGAATTACATGAAATTTTTAGGAAACTCAAAACAAATATATAATGGTTATTATATCTCGCTAAAAAAAATAATAATATCCTTAATTCGTAATAGAAATAGTAGTTCTATTTATGATACGTCAATGTGACGTCGCATAACGCCATTATGACGTTAATATACGGCGTATAATTGAATTATTATTCGATGAGCCGTTCAAGAAATGGCAAATCTGTATTTAACTTTGTTTTACAACCTTCCCACTGGATCATCAAAATATTAATTATCAACTGAAATCATTTTCAGAATATCTATACAACCAACGCCGATGGTGTCGACGAACCAAGTGATTCCAACAAAGCTAAAACCTCTGCAAGTGGACCACATTCAACCAAGCAGATCGTCGTCTAGCAGTCGAGACGTCGAGCCGACCAAGTCGTACACGTTCGATATACCCCGAAATCCTGTGAAGCGACCCGAGCACCCGGTATTTTTGGAATCCAGTCACGAGAATGTTTTGCCATCGAGCAGAGTGGAACCGACCGAATCTTTGACTCCTTCGACCACCGCGAGTCAAAAGAAGGATGAACGATCGACGATGAAGAAGGACGAGAGCACGAAGGTGGCTACTCCGCAAGCAACGGAAGTCAAACGAAAGAACGAGACGACCATCAATGAATTACCTAGTGTGGTGACCAGGGTTGACAGTTCGATAACGAAGGTAACAAGCATGTTGCCGGACAAACATCAAGGAAAGATCGTGCCGGTGATTAAAATGACGAAGGACATTGCAACCAGTTCGACGCGCAAAGCTGTTAACGGTACCACTACGACCATGCAGATGAAGCCGAAAGAGGTGAGTGGTGTCCTCAAGTTTTTATTACGAATAACAAAATTAGTATGACTACAAACTACTGGATGGCATTAATTTTCTTCTGTAGTATTTGACGCCAAACTCATCTGTTTCTGTTGTTTTAAATGATTAAAAATGTTGAATATTCATAATAAGTTGAATAAAAAGTTGAATATATATAATATATATTATATATTATAATTATTATATATTGAATATATATATATATTTTTTAACCTTTATTGCGGAAATAAGTGTTGAATGAATATCTATACTTTAGTTATTATTATATAAATTTATTCTAGTTTTCACTTATTAGTAAAAATATTAATTTCACTTTTTTACGACTTACGATTTTTCGCGAAAATCTCATTTCTTTATATTCTTATACGAGGATACAAAATTTTCTCCAACAGCGTCGTTTGTCCTATAATCAAAGTTTGAAGTTACAATCATTTATAGTTATTATTCAAGTCTGATTTAGCTACATATCTTGGAATAGCAGAATACGTATAGTACTGTTAATGGAACTCTTTAATTTAGCAAAATAACAAAGTAAATAATTCACATCAAATTCTTTACTTTAGTATTGTTGAGAGCATAAGGAGGTATCCGTAGAAAATTATTAGATAAGTTGATCCGTCCTCACACGTTTTCTAATAAAAATTAGCTGGTCTGAATTTTTGAGACCCGCTCTTATTTTTAGTGACATTTGTTGCGATGTATTCTTCTTTTTATTTTATTTTCAAAAGGTGAGATTACTCTCATAGTATTTGATTCAATTTCGAGCACCTTCATATATATAACCCCACGTTTTCTCGACGCACAGGTGACGAGGTTCCAAACGTCGACGGTGACAAGAATCGAAACCTCGGTTCTGGGTTCTCCGCCGACAACCAGAACTCTGCTTATCACGCATACACTGACATCGACCACAGTCGAAACAGTGACCGAGACCTTGCTACGTCCGACGAGTGTGATATCGACGATAACGTCGACGATTCTGCAGTCGATCGTGACCAGAATACCGTCGACATATGAGAACGTGGTAGACAACGATTCCATCTTCGTAGTGATGAGCGACCAGAAGCCACCAGCGCCTGGGGCAGAAGAGGTAAATGTAAGACGTCTTTCAATTTCAACTAGAGTTTCAATATTTTTGGAAATTCTGATGTTCAATTGAACTGTTTCTGCAGGTCGAGGCTGAGTACGGTGACATTTCGAGGGACGAACAAGACCCGACCGGGAACGAGATTCACCAAGTCCTGGCTGGCGGTGTTCTTGGAGCACCTGTGGTGTCTTTCCAACCTGTTACTAATCAGTGCACACCCGAGTGTAGGGCTTCCAGAGCTGAGATTTGTGCAGAAGTTGAGGGCGAGATGAGATGTATCTGTCGACCTGGATTCGCCAGAATGTTCCCTGATCGGCCCTGCAAACGTGAGTACAGTAAATTCTCCCTAATTGACGCTCAGCTTGCACGCGAAAATGGACAATTTGAGAAGAGGAGATACGATTATTCGAGCCTTGCGGCTCGTTTTTATAGTCACCGGATGTCAACAACTATAAACACGAGCTGTAAGGCTCGAATAATCGTATCTTCTTTTCTCAAATTGCCCATTTTTGTGCACAATCGTAGCGTCAATTAAGGAGAATTTACTGCATTGCGTACTTTTAGAAAAGATTTGACAGTTTGATCTTTGAGCATCATCTATCTCGACGACGAGTATTCCAATCGTTCGATTGCGATACTTCGTATTGTTATAGAAATATTTCAAGAAACTCAAATTCAATAAAAGTCTATTCCCATTCCAGGCATCGGTAAATTCAGTATAAAATGCACCTGTGTATTAGGATATTGGATATATTTTAGAATTTTCTTGGAAATTTCTATTTGCTGCGGTAGCACAAAACACCGCAGAAATGAGTAGGTGTAATTTCAAACAGTGAGAAGATTAACAGTAACCAAGAACGTTGATATATTAACTTGAACTTATTAAAATTCTTGAGGAAAAAAATAACGTGCTTGGCTCCGAGTTTAGCAATTGGTGCAGATAATTTTTATTTTGCTCATAAAGATTCACAGTCTAATTATCACTGCGGATTTTATGCATGTATATGTCAAAAGTGAGTAGGTACAATTTAAAATAGTGAAAAAGTTGAAATAATTGAACGATTGAACTAGAAACCTTTATTTTGCCTATGGATCCGCAGTTATCGCGAACTAAAAAAAACCAATGAAGTGTAAACTTATTTTCGTCAAGAAAAAGATAATTGAATTTTGACGATCGTTTTTTCATGATTACCTGAGCAATATCTAGCAATGTCAAACATAAACGCTAAAAATTAAATATATTTCGCTGTTTAATATTTTGCTATTTATCATTGCGTTTAGCAACCTACACCTACACCCTACGAGTTGGCCTAGACCGCATCGGGCACGAAACGGTGAATTATGAATTCAAGATGAACGACACGACATCACCAACTTACAAAAGACTGCTAGGTCCGACTAAGGATGCATTAGATAGGACTCTGATGCAGAGCGATCTGAGAGATATTTACAGGGGCTTGAAGATAGCCGGTTTCACGCCTGATCCAACGAAAGTTGAATTCCACGTTCAGCTTAGCGACAACGCCAATGAGACAAGATTAAAAGAAGTTCTTCAGAAATATTTGATCGGAAGCAATTACAGCTTGGGAGGCACCGAGGTCTATGCGTCGAAGAATCTCGAGATGGTCAGCGTTCGTTTATATATATATTTTAACACTTAATCAAAGAATTAACACAGAAAACATAGTCTTAACACTGAAATTAATCATTTGTTTCTCAATTATTATTATCATTCTCGAATCGAAGAAATTGAGAACTACAGGAAGGATGAAATTTCATTAAATCTTACCAATTTCATTAAACATCTACAAAATTGAAAATATTTTTTATTATAATATACAATAATATTAATTGTTAATGTGAGACAAAGATCGACACGTTTGTTATCAGTCTTATAGTTAATTGATTTTACTGAATGTAGAAGTGAAAAAGTTCTTAAATATCACAGTAATATTATGACCTTAAATAAATAAGGAATATAACATTCATTTTTTCGAAATGATATTTACAGAAATATATTGCTACCAATGAATACTTTATATTGTATTTTATGGTCTCTCTCTTCGAAATATTAATTATGTTCACAGTAAGAATGCATATTTTCCTCATGCAAGTTTCGAAATGATATTCATTAAAGATATTTTGTTATCAATGAACAAAATTGTATGCATTTTGGAGATCTTGAAGCACTAACAATTTCCGTAGTTAAAATGTCGTAATTGTATCTTTGATATAATGAATCGATGCAATGGTATCTTTAAGATTCGTTTCGAGTTTTATGAAATTAATAACATTTCAGATTGATGCAATCGATTTCGACGAATGCATAACAGAGGAAGGAGGTCCTCACCATGACTGTTCACCAAACGCGGCTTGCTTCAACTTACGAGGTTCCTATCAATGTTCCTGCAGGGAGGGCTGGGCTGATCTGTCTGAAAATCCAGCCTATCCTGGACGTTTGTGCTCTCAGGCCCCATTAGGCTGCCCTAGCTGTAATAATAAGGGACACTGTGTCACGAACACTAATGGACAAGAAGTCTGCGAGTGCTTCCCATGGCACAGTGGTCAACGCTGCCAAGTAAATCTCAAAGGTGAGTGTAGTACTCATCTCTTACATATCTCTTAAATACTCAAATTGTGGTATGTAATAATTAGCTTGCGGATCTTTATGCATTTTCGTGCCGCAAACGTATAAATTTACAATGTCTAATACATTTTCTATTTTATTTTTGCAATCTAATTATATTGTGTATAATAATTGAGTTGACCACCTGTATTGATTCAATTTGCACTGATTACACCATATATTCGTTAATTATAATTACTTGATTACTTCGTAGTTGCAATCGTTAACCATGAACACAGCTTCACATTAGTTGAAACATATAATTATTAATCACATTACTCTTTCCTCAATTATGGCCATAATTTCTTTAGATAGTAACGTTTCGACATTTGTCCTAAATGGATCCCTCCAGTTAATTCATTATTAGATTGCGTTTCTTATGCATTTATAATAAAAAATGGCCAGTGTGATTATCAAACTCTAAAGACATTATATCTACGGTCCTAAAATTGTCTTAATTTATTATTAGAATGACGAACAAAAGAAATATATTTTTATTTAAAAGAAAAAAATGTATTGAGAAAGTTTCTATTTTGCAGGAAGATCCGCAGTCTATTTATCAAAAATCAGAACAAATCTATATTTCCCTAATTTATATTTGGAGATATTCCCGCCACTCCTTTAAGAATCCACGCGACTGCAAAAAATACCAGACCGACCCCCGTAGTTCCATCTAGAGAGACAGCAGTAAAAATTTCGTTGACACACGTTGTCGACGCTCAAATCATCTTACAGATGTTCCACATAGCAGACAGAAAGTTAAAGAAATTAATTACCGTAACAGTGCCCCCCCCCCCCCTGCTCCACCCAAATCGTAACTTGTACGGTGTTCGCCAGGGATACGAGCGCAGGCTTCGAGAGCATCAATTCACAAGGGCATAAATCTTGTTCCAGTGCTACTGATAGCTCTGGTTACGACCGGGGCGATATTGCTGGGTCTTCTGGCGGTGTGCGTGGGTATGGCGTGTTTCCGTCACCCCAGCCGAAAACGGCAGGCCGGCGACAGAAGAGCTATGATTCCTGGAACAGGCGGTGACACCAGCAGCGAAGGCAGTGCCACGGATCTGGCGATTCCCCATCATGTGCCGCACGTTCTGCCGCCTCCGCCGCAGATGATAGCACCCTTGCCGCCGACCAAGCGACCGGCTCGCAAGATCACCGGAAAACCTCGGCAGCCGCCGAGAAAAGCCACTATGGTTTCTGCTTCAGGTTCGTTTAACGATTATTTTTTGTTTTCGTTTCTATGTAACCAGTTAGCTGTGTTTGACGAGTATACACATCATGGAGAAGTGTCATAACGAGTATACTTGTGGTGCGTAAAAAGTAGTGACCATTAGGTATTTAAATTGTAATTTTAGTGAAAACAAAAATATATTCTCAAATTTCGAGATGATTAAAATATTTCGAGGCCAAAATAAAAAAATAAGATCAGAAGAGAATCATAATATTGTAATGCTCGACGTGCCATTACGTAACGTTCCTTGCTTTGCTGCATACCATTCTGCAGCAGCAATTTGAATTCTTAACTTTTATTAATATTCGATTTTTCCTGCGTTTTTCATTTTTCGGCAGATGCACACTTCGAAATCATTTAAATATCACTTTGACATTTTTTTATATCTTTCGCAGTAACGGAAATAACTTAGATGTTCAATTTAAGTGAATGACCATGTATACAGGGTGTTCCACAATTATTTTAACAGCTGAAAATGAGGGGTAGCTGAGGTCATTTGAAGTAACTTTTTCCTTTGCGAAAATGCAATCCGCGGCTTTGTTTACGAGTTATTAACGGAAAACACTGACCAATGAGAGGTGACGGCGCGAAGTTCCGAGAGCCCGCAGAGAACTGCGAGAAACTTCCCGGATTTTGTTTACTACGTAACAGTGATATTTTTAAGAAAAACGCTGTTCACCTTTACTTTAGAACGTCTGAAGAATATTTACTAATTTTTCGGACCCGAAATAGTAAGTAATTTAAGTGTGACGGCGTGGGCCCCTCAGCCGAAAGGCTGTAAAAATAATTGTGGAACATCCTGTATATTATTACCAAATATTACCAAATATACCGCACACTTATTATCGAATACAATGATTTCACATAAATAAATGAATTCACATAAATTTAATGTGAAATAGAAAAAATATAAGAACATGCAAATGTACATACTACAAATTTATAGTTTACAAATTTAAGAAATTATAAATTATAATATTTCCCTCGTTCGTAGTGGCACTTTAATTTGTTCACTACTTCATTCGTTCGATGTGGAACACCCCATTGTATTTTACAGTCAATGTTTTCTTTTGTGTCTGGCTACAAAAATATTTAAATATCCGTTTCTAAAAGAAACTTCTGTATTTAAATATTTAAGCGACATTTTAATGTTATATGGAACTCGGCTAACATCAGTTTTAAATTACAAATTTGCGTATGTTTTAGCTAGTTCATTACTGAAGTTAAAAATTTTGTTTGCCCCTTTTGCTGAATTACGTGAAAATTGACGAAAAATAATGTTTTGGAAAGGAATTTCGTGATATTCTCAGTGGTGAAGAATGAATAATTAATCCCTCTAAGAAAGTTTCTCTCTATACGATGGACAAATATCATTTATTCTTCTTTCCATTAAACAAATCGATGCTATTGTACGACGAGAATATAATGTTAAAATGCGAAGCCGAGGTCAATATAAACAAAATTGTAATAAAAAGTTTCAGATAGATTCATTGAGTCATGATTAAAAACATTTTTCCAGCGAATTACTCGAGCCTCCTCCGTTAAGCTAAATGTCTACAATTAACTAACTTTGTTTTTCGATTGGTTACAGTGCCAGTAAACGACGAACAACGAGATCGTTCACTCACTGTGATGATTCCCCGTGCTAAATACAGATCAGCGCCCCAATCTCCACAAAATTACAAGTCCGGAATGAGCACGTTCTCAACAGAGGAGCACAAACTGCTCAGTTACCTCGACAACGGCACGCACAATACCGGAAACAGAAAACAAAGTATAACCAGCATGAAAGACTGCAAGGAGGCCGATGTGCAGGTCATCAGAACTCCGGCAACACCAACTGGCGCCCTCGTCAGCGCTGGTTTCCAGGTAAGCTTTCATAATGTCGATGAGTATAAAAGGTATCTAATTCTCTTTTTATCACAAACGAACAATATCGTTTCTTCTTTTTTTGCTACAAACTCAGTAATTAGTATTATTTATAGTATTAGTTATATTATTTTATAGTATTTATACACTATTTTCTACATGATTAGGCAAATAGATCGTCAACTAAACTTTAAATTCTGAAGGAGAGAATGACTGAGAATTTGCTTATTTGTCTGCATTTAGCCAAATTTTTTGTAAACTTTCCATCATTTTGCGGGATATATAGAATTGTTTCGTGAACAAATTATAACTGTCAAACTGAACAAAATTGAGTCGAATAATGTTGTACGATTATTCGTGATCATTGATACAATCTTTAACACTGAAACTACAAGACCCGTAAACACTTTACCTATCGGAGTTTCCTAACGGCTCTTGTAAAATCGAAGATCAAGGGTTAAGAAATTCTGAAAAATTTGTTCAAAAGCTGCAATAATCTCCTCTACGATCCAGCACATTACTTAGATTAGAACAACGTAACAACCTTTTTTGAAATTATTATTTAAAAATAAATTATTGATCTTCTCTTAGGCACAGTTCATTTTTAAAAGCTTGTCGATAAGCTTTCGATAAATAAATTGTTAAAATCACGAGTACCAGATTTTTAAATGCACCCATAACGAAATTATTCGATAAATGTATTTCTTTGGGCATAGTTGTATAACCTAACGGAAGTCGCTGTAAATTCGAGCGAATGCTATTTTGGTCGTTTTTGCGAAGTAATGCAAAATAGTCCCCAAACATTTTGCTAAATTATTCGAAATAATTTGTGTTATTTTTACGTTTAATCGTTTTGTTTTCAAATCCAGGTCTCTGCAACGGTGACTCGAATAATGGACGCTGACTCGACGTTAGCTCGATCATGCGGCGAGACCACAGTGGAAACGGCGACCAAGGTTCTACGAACGACTGATCCAGGTGATCTCGGATCGACTCTGCCTCGCTCCTGCGGAGAGACAACCATCCAGGCGCCCACGAAGTTGCTGAGACTCGATTTAGGGGAGGCCGGTTCTACTCTGGCTAGGTCTTGCGGAGAGACAACGATCCAACCGCCGACCAAAGTCGCTGACGCTCGGAGGAGCAGTATCAAGGATAACAGAGACAACAGAGACACCCGGGACAGTGCCAGTGAGGGGCACACAATGGCTGAGAGGGATCTGGGAAGCACGCTGAGACTTCCGGCGCAGCATCCGCCTCTTTATAACCCGGATAGGGTGAGTGGACAACGAAATATGTACACACTGTTCTATTCCGAATACCTTTCTGCCTTTATGGGAGTATTCTTCTATACAAATTATTGGCAATACAATGCACGAAATGTCCACAAAGCCAACCTGTTTTTTTTTTTACTAATGTCTTAAATAGCAATGAAAAATTTATATTCGATACCATTTTGTGATTAATTAAAGAAAGCATTTGCATTAGTCTCAAAGAATAAATATAAAATTTATTTAAAGAGAAAAGTAAAAAATATAATCTAGTAAAAAACAAAATGTGCCATAAAACCTTTCGATTTCTTAATTAAATAATGTTAAAATTAACAATTATTGTTAAAACTATTTCCGTGATAGTGGTTAGTGTAGCCTCCATCTTTAAAAAAAAAAAAAATAGCGTTTTAAATAAGGTTTAGCATTGATAATAAGGATTTTTTTAAGTGGATGCATAAAATGAATAATATTCTTAAGGTTACATCGTTTACGCTGGAATGAAATAAATCTTCGAGAAAATGTGAAAAATTAAACGACCTCTGACATTTAAAATAAAATTGTCCTTTCTTGGTCAGAAAAATTGATTTTTGAATAATTAACTAATTCTTAAACATAATTTTCTTGTATTAATAATTTTCGTTGAATGTCCACAGGCCAGCGATCGGGAATCAAACTTTGACTCCCTCTAGGCATCAAGGATTCTTGAGAAATAGAGTATTCGGTCGACGGATACTAGCCGTGGACGAAACCGCTGGACGGTAATCTCCATAGGTTCGCGAAACCGTTCAATGAAAATTCGTCGCTGCCAAACGGACGTAGAGAATATCGGAAATCGAGTCGCCTGACGGAGGAAATTGTGAAAATCCACTTATCTTGAACGCTGTTGGTCGATAAAACGGGATCAAAAAAGGGGGGAGGGAGTAAACGGCAAAACGTTCAAAAATATTTTCAGTAAGAAGCTTTTCATTTCGTTCGCTTTTATTAAATTTAAAGAATATTTATTGAAAGAGAAGTTTCGTACGAAAATGTTCTCGATAAATCGACAGTTTTCAGGATAATCGAGGGATCTGGAAAATCATTTGAAAAACGAAACAAAAAGTTGTGAGAAGCGCTTTCCATTATTTATTTAAGCATTATTCGTTCATCGACATTTATTATAGGAAGAGGGCGCACTTTCTTTACCGTCGACGGGATTATTAGTCGAGTTCGATTAAACGTGAAGAAGCTCAAACTCAAAGAGACGCGCGCGTTATTTACCCCCGTGCCAAAATACAACCAATGAAAGGAAAGCTCTCGCCTTTCCGAATATCGTTATCACGTTTCATTTGTCGGTATCGGAACACTCGCAACGTTGGTCGAACATTTTCCATTACCACGGAAGTACATGGAACAATTAGAACTCACCGGTCCTAGTAATGCAAACCTAGGGAAAATGTTCTCTAACATTGGAGGGCCATTGATAGACTGTGGATTTTGTTTATTTATGACAGACACGAGTACATCAAATGCAACACACGGTAGAAACACTTACAGAATTAAAAATACTGTTGCGTTAGTTTTCACTCAATGAAAGAATTAAAGAAATCATGGAATGTTTACGTCACTTCTGTATCTTGCAATTAATGTAGAGAATTTTTATTTTGCGTCCAGTCATTAACTACACGCTTTTAAAAGTGTAGGTGAGAAAAAATTCCTACTTTAAAAATACTTTTTTTTTTATTCTGAACAAATATCATATTCTCACAATATTATTTCTTGTTAACGAAAATCTGCAGCAAGTATTCTTAAATGATGCGAACACGAAATAATCAATATTCCTTAGTTGTACAAGTTATAAATATTATGCAATATATATTAAAATAATTTTGCCAAAATAACGGAGATATTATGTACTAAGAAATTTTCCTTCGAAACGAGTCAGTATAATACATAGTACTTGAACGTGATCGATTAAAGAAACTTAAGCTGAAATAATTCTGCATCAAATACGTTTTTCATACACGCAAAACAATTAGGATATAGCTGGCAGATGTCTATACAAAATAAAAATTTCTTACTTTAATTGTAACAAACTGTTAAATAGAGATGTATTTTCTTTTCTAATTATTTTAATAGGTTGGAGACAATATAACAATGTTCTTAAATTCTTTGAATACCATTTACTCTTTCGAATGTTACCTATTCACATTTCTCATAAAAGCAAAGCAATCAGCAGATTATGGACCTCCTTTGCTCGCGTGTGTTGACCCGAAAACGGTCAAAAAGTGCGTAATCGAATTTCGAGCAAACGTTTCGAGATTCCGGCCGACCATCGAGCGAATCGAAGCGTGACTGAAATCCAGTGTCATAAGTTGTGAACGACGCCGATCGTCGCGGATTCGACGGTCGCGCGCGATCGATCGCGGAACCGGACATTATTATTATTGTTGTTGTTGTTTGTTTGTTTAGTCTATTCTCTGACGGGTCTCGTCATGTTGCCCGGCTTCGTCGGGAGAAGTTTGTGCGTCGCGACGCGGCGGCGTGGCGCGGCGTGACGATTCAATGGATCGTCGTGCTTCCATTCGATCGCGAGTCCTATGAAATATCTATTTTTAGATGTAAATCGGGTTATGATGTCGTAGACGCATCCACCAAAAATTCTGGTCCAGAATACCGCAGACTTATAGAAAATTCAGCAAAACACGATTTACGTTTAGAAATTTACAACATTCTGTATCTTGTAATTTCCTTTCGTGTCAGGATATCTATAACGTTTGTTTATATATATATATATATATTTATGACATCGTTAAATATCTTATTAAGGTCTCATCGGTGATTTGCACATAATCGAATTTGAATGTTTATTTAACGTTTTTAATCAAGCAAGACCCAGATGTTTAATAATTATAATTTGAAAGGAAGTTTTAATTGACCACGGTTCTTAAGGTTGAATAAAATACTTTTCGTGTATCTGGAAGATTGAAATTTTCTTTTCATCATTTAGCAAAATGGACGTGCGGATATCGCAGACACTGAAAGGAAACGGCTCATTCGATATTGAACGACAGAATGTGATCGAATGTGTAATTATTTAATCGAGACGAAGTCGCGGCAACGTCGCTGTATCAGACTCGAGGAAGAGCGAGCAGGACGTGTTGCATAAAAGCACGCACAAGTGCATTTAACTCTTTTTGTTAGCTCAATAGGTAGCGTAAGCGGATGCAATACGGAGGACAGGTGTATTATTAACGACATTACTTTTTATTATTATTAATTCTCGTAAGATCGCGTTTAACCAAAAGTGAATAGAAACGAAAACGACGATGCTCGTACCTTGTATCACAATTACTAACTTGTCCTATCCACGTCCAAATGAAATTGTTCTTTCTACACGCATATAGATGTATGCGCGGATATTAATATTTATATATGTGCATGTATAAAATACGATATCTTATATATGTACGAATGTAAAATTAATATCTGTGCGTAATCATAAATATGTATATATATATACGAAATGAAATATATAGATATATAAATATATATTTATATACGATACACTTATAAATATATTCTGTTGTACATATTGTCTCCTCGAGAACCTCTTCTACTTAATGCTATTGTAATTTTTGTATACTTAGAGCCTGTATACTTCAGCGTAATTTTAATAAAAATGAATAATATAAACGCTCGTGTTGTTTATTTTCTGTGCGTTAGAAAATTAATGTCTGTATAAAACGTCTAATACCACCAGTTTGTCCAAGTTCGAATTCTTGGAAATTATATTTGTCTCTCTCTCTCCTTCTGGAAATCGAATTTATTCTTAAGCAGATCAAATTCATCCTTTTCCACATTTTATTCACCTCAAATTATTACATGTGTTTACAGGAACTGTTATTTCAATCGTTATGTTTTTCAGTGATAAACTCTATCCAAGAGGATTTTTTAAACAATCAAATTATATGAACAATTGGACAAATTATATGGTCAAATTATATTGGACGAATTATATGGACAAATTGTGTAGTCAAGAATGGACAATCTGGGAAGAGGAGATACGATTACAATTATATAAACGGAGTGCAAGGCCCGAACAATCGTATCGTCCTCCTCCCAAATTATCCATTTTTGTTCACAAGCTGAAATTAAGAAGAATTTATTGTATTCACTGATTTTTAAATAACACCATCGTAAACAGCGTTTCGAAATGAATTGCTTGAAATAAAATTCGCCCGGATCTGTTACAGGAGAAGTGGGCTCATTAAACAAGATACACAAACGAGTGAAGTGTCCAATCATTTTGTCCCGCATAGGAGTGCAGAACAGTCGTTTACCGCACAACACCGGTGCCGTCGGGAAGAAACGTTGTAGCCTCCGATAGAAGATAGAGGAACAACAGGCGACTCCGCAGGAACGGGGACAACTTGATTCTCGCTTGAACAAAAACCGGGGACGTGCGCCAGGCTGCGTTTCTCGATTCGTCGCGGCGCGAGGCGCGGCCTGCAACTAAAACGAGCCTAATCCACAAAACAAACCGATCCGCCGGGGCCCCCGGTCCACCCAGCACCATTCCGCAGGACGTTCACGACGCGTCCCGCTCGATCCGCGTCGTCCCCATACGCGACGAAAGGCCCGATTCGTCGAAGGGCCCCATCCGACGACTGGCAACTACCGCAAATGACTTTATTTATACCGCCGGCCCTTATTAGGACTCACGGAGCCATGGCCGTGTAAGGTTGTTCGAAGGTAATTTCGCCGGTATCGGGCTTCTTTTGTCGGGCCTCGGTTTTTGCGCGGCCGTCTCCGCTGAAATTACTCCCGGCGAAGCGTGTGCAAGTTTTTCGTGCGCGACGTTACGCGAACTCGGCTCTCCCCTCGGGCCCTCGGGCCCCGGGCCCCAAGCACCGGCGAGCACTCGTCGCGATTCCGCGCCGATTTCGTTGGAAAACTGCGTTCGAGCGATCCGCGATCGGTTCTTCTGTACGTTCCGTAAGGGGGATGGGGCACCGTGTGCACCTGGGACCGTTTCGCGGATTTCATGGCTGCAAGAGTGAGCGGAAAGCCTAACTGCTACCTAATACGAGCGAATCGGCTGATTATGATGTTACAAATTTGTAACGCGCTGCGACGATAAGTAATCGACAGACTAACATGGTCCCGGAAAGTGCTACACTGCTACGAAGCATTGGATCACGTGATTTTTCTGCGTACACGGTGGAGTGCGCGATCAACCTGTTAAGCTGGATATTTACTGAACGACGTCTCGGACGAACCTGTTCGAAGCAATTCGGAGCGAGTTGTCTTCTGAAGTTCTTTTCGTGCTATGTTGACCGTATGGAAGAAAATTGTTCTGCCATTTAGGCTTTGACGATTGAACGCGGCGCTGTGTTCTGCTGGCACGTTTCTGTATTTACTTCGAAATGGGTAATTAACCTGTTACCCTGGAGAATTGATTGAATTGTGTCTAGAACGAACAGTATTGAGTATTCGAAGCGAACTGCTATTTGTAATTCTTTCTACATTTTCAAATCGTTTGCAAATGAGAAATGCATACAGGTCAAGTATTTAGGTAATTGTAGACTACATTAACCCTTGAATGCACAATTCTTGTACAATATTCTCTAAAGCCGTATGCATTAGTACTGTAGACTTCTTTTAATATAAGTAATTTTTTTCTGTAAATTCTTTTCGACATCTTTTAGTAAAAAAGAAATTGCATCAAGTTTATTTAGAAAACCGTGTAACAGTACCACTTGCACTTCCGTACAAAAATACATATAGTCCACCCGAAGAATTTTATTTAATGTCTTCTAATTAAATAATGTAAATTATATTTTTGTTAAATATTTTTTTTCGAGTGATCTATAGAAAAATATTCTGATGAATTAATGTTTCAATTCTGGCAATTGGTCTTAGTGTTCTATTAAATAAATGTAAATATTGCAAGCAATCACAATTGTAGTCAATATTTAATCCCTCGTGGCATCACCTTTACATTTAATTATCACAGTCATTCTCCTCAATGAAGATTTACATTATTCTTCAATGGTTTTTTTGTTGTAATTGTAACCAATAGTCCAACAATTTTCTATGTACACGTGTTAAAATTTGAATATTCTGTTTGCCACTCAAAAACTCGATTTTTTAATACTAGGTTAGCGGAACCCGTCAAAATGGCGGGTCACTAATTTTTAAATTAACGATTATTCTAATTGTGAAGACACGTTTATGAGCCATTTATTCAATATGTGTGTTACTTCCGGCAAATGCTACAATATCACTTGTTAAGAATCAGAATAATTGTCTGATTGATACTTTCATAAACTAATATAAAACAATTGCTTTTAGTGCACTGTAAATCTAGTACTAATTAACTAAGTAAGTAATCTAGTTTAGATGATGATCTTCCAAGACGAAAAGAGATTGATTCTACTACTATCAAAGTCTCTAATAGGAATGAACTAAATGAAGACATATATGAAAAATTGTTTCATTCCATCAGGAAAATGATGAAAAATGGAAGAGCGTTAACTAGTCGATCTCGACTTATTAAAGTTATTTGAGGAAGAAAGAACATTGCACGTGGCTGCTGTATCTTGCAACTAACGAAGACATTTGTTATTTTACATTAAGATCCGCAGTCTTAATTAATTAACAACGAGTAAAATTTCCAAAAGATCTAACAAGTGGCGTTGCGTAAGAACTTAACACGAGAAAGAGACATTTGACGATGAAAAAGATGGAACACTTTTCTTTGGCAGAGACCGTGGGCCCTCGTCGGAATGTTGTTCGGTAAAAGTCAAGCGGAAACGGCCGGGGATTTCGACCTGGGACGACAGAACGAAGACACAGTGCCCTTTTTTCCCGGAATTGGCAGGCTCGACGCGTTTTTGCGACGTGTTGCGCACGCTGGAGAAATTGGAACCCCTTGCGTCCTCGTGTTTCCGAGGACCCCCGCCGATTTCTCTGTGCGCCCTTTCTCTCGAGCACGTAACTTCTCCTCGTCTTTCTCCGGACCGATCGCAGATAAGATTTCATCGATGGAAAATACGAGCAAGTCCTCCGAAGGATCCGTACCAACGACACCGTACTTCTTGGGACCCGGACAGAAAAAAGAAAAACGGGAAATTTGTATCCGAGATATCTGGGAATTCCAATTTGTGTCCGCCGTAAGCCTAGGAATTTTAATTGATGTGGGTCGCTGGAGCCTTCTTACTCTTCGTGCACTACGGTTGATATCGCAGTAATCTATCGATACGATGCTGCCGCAGTCGCTGTGATAAATTTACGGTGCTTGACAATTGACGCGAGTATGCGGGAGAGGGTAGAACGGTTATGTGCTTCGCTCTTTTTGTCGACGATCTTAAATTGTGTGTCGCATGAAATCGCCTGTCACGTTGTATTGTGCGGATGCAAGTTTATCGCATTGCTTCTACGATTGTTGTAACCGTGTGACGTTATTCGGACTGACGCAGAGTTTTATGGAACCACAAAGTTGTAGTAGTGCTCGCGGTACGTTGTAACCAGATAGCGTAACGCTGTGTGACGTAACGTGCGACAGAAGATTGGATATTGTTTCATACAATCTCGTACAGTATTTGATTTATTGAAAGCAGCAATGGTAGAAAATTTATGTTAATTTAAATTTCCTGAAATTATATGTACAATTGTAAATTTCCATTTTCAATAGTGCACTTATTAGTAGCTCAGCAAATATCACATACATGTGTAGTTCGTAAAATCGTATAAATGACAAAAAAAATTCGGGTTTGTATTCAATAAACAATTATGTTTATATATGAAAATCACAAATCAAAATGTAACTTAACAAACATAAGTTTTTCTATCCCCGAAAAAGTGCTACACTTTTTACGATTGCGAAAATCGTATATCAGGTTCTAAAGGTAGTAATTAAATACATTATTTCATATATATGTTTATAATATTCCAAGTCTGTATTGGATTCGTTACTTGAGTTACGTCTATAATATTGTGTCCTTTTTTTCAGTATGAAAGTATAAATTTTTATCTTGATAATAGAAAAATCATTTCAATGTTCCGTTTTAAGTTTCCTTAATTCATAAATACACTGTAATTTATTTTTCCTTAAAAGTGTAGTTTGTAACATCCTGTAATAAAGCAACTTTCTTGATATTGCGCTACTTTATTGCCAGAAGAAGATATTAACATTATCTTATATGATTGCGTCTATATTCAATCTATCGTAAGTGTACCTTATTTGTTATTAGACTGCGGATCTATATGCTAATTAAAAATTGTTCAAGTTAATTGCAAGGAATATAAGTTATATGAAAACGTCTTTTTTCTTTGAATAATCGTAGCAAGTTGAAAATAATGTAACGTTTCCAAGGATAATGTCATTTCAGTTTTGTATTAACATACTCACTTCTGCCATAAATACATAAAACTCCCAGTCTATCGTGCTGATCTAATTCTGATTATATTCAGTGTAAATGTATCTATGTTATTAAAAATCGAAAACTAGAGAATTGGTCTACAAGCACTCCCCAACATTTTGCAGCTTTCATCCTCAATTTAAATAATATCATGTAGCAGTTGCTCCTTCCATAAATATTTTTAAAATATTATTTTTGGTCCCTGCCAAAGAGTAACACTCGTGTCAGACCATCCCCTTAACCAGTTAGCTGTGACGTCTCCTTTTCAGA